ATTATTTAAATTTGTAAAAATTATTGAAAAACGCGAATTATAGTAACCTGCGAATGACGCCGAGTAAAAAACGTATAAAAACCTACTTATATATGAAAAAACATTTAATTATTTTGGCATATCAATGCTGCCAAGCGTTGATGCATCTAACTGTATTCTTCTGCCATGCTGTGTATCATGTTTTATTAGCTATTTTCTATTGTACTTTATATTGTACCTTCTTATTACCCTAATGTTTAATGACAGTCATGTATTTCTACAAAATGTAATACTTCATTTTAATAAAATGTATAATGTATGTATTGTTGCACAACATTTTGGTAGTTTCTCTCTGACCAATGCTGTTAAATCACATGTATGACTTTGATCCGGTGGAAGCGTTTCATGCAATTATAGTTTAATTTTTGTTTTTTTTTTTTTTTTTGTTCATTAATAATATTATAACCACACAAATCTATAAATTAATTGAATAAATTCTGCGATTATACATATGATATTTATAGCTGCTACACATAGAATACATAATAAATTGTACATATTTGATGTCATTTTATTCCCATGCATAAACATCCTTTATTTCTTGCAACTATTTGCGTAGTAACTAAAATTGTTAGTCACATGCTTTGTCTTTTTACTAATGAGAGTACATTAAATGTTTGTCTTTTTTTCTTAAATATTATTTTCTTGTTTCCCATTCAACTGGGCCATGTTTGTATAATTATAATAAATAATTTATAGTGTTATGTTAACTCTAATTTTCACATCACAAGTTGAAATTGTATGAAGCTTTTCTTTGTTTATTTTTTTTTTTTTGTATTAACTTTATATTATTTTTAATAAGCAAAAAATATAATATGTTGCGTTTACAAATTTTTGAACAAAAAAAAAAAAAATGAAAAACTTTTTTAATGTATGTGAAAAGAAATATATATATATATATATATATATATATATATATATATATATATATATATATATATATATATATATATATATATATATATATATATACATATACATTTTTGTTTTTGACCAAACCTGAGTTAGAGACATAGTTTTGTTGTGCCATTTTAAATCCGCGGTTGTATTACAATGTTTCAAATTATAAACTTTTTGAACAACAAATATTTCGGTATTGAAATGTAAATAGGCTAGAATTTTAAAAGTACAATTCGGAAACTTTTTCGTCATTTACCAACAAAAATCGTTACAACTAAAATACTAAATTTCGAATTAAAACTCAAAATCACTCTTAATAAAACCATTTTTATAGGTAGGTTTTGATTACCTCTTTTTTTGGTCTCTTATCGGTAATTTCGTCCTCAAAAATTTACAGAATAATACTTCTACACTAAACGCTGCGTTAGCAAAAAAATCGGCCGGGCTGAACTTTGAATACCCTCCCTATTTTGGAACAAATTTGACAATTTTCAGAAAAATTCTGTTAAAATCTTAAAACTACAGAATGTAGCCGTTAAATTAGGGTCGATACGACGAAGTGGATCTGCATAGGCAACTTTTGTCATAAGCCATCACAATATTCAAATGCGAAACTTGAAAAATAAAATTCGGTGAATAATGTAGCTATAGCTATACCAAAACGCGGATCTACACAGACAATTTTCTTTCAACTTCAAATACCAAATTTGAAACAATTCCGGTGATTAATATCGCTAAAATCTTCTATCGAAGACTTCGACCTGCACAGACAATTTTCTGTCTTAGGCATAAGAACAAAGTTTGTCTGTGTTATACCTTCTTAATATTTTCTTCTTGCCATGGTAGATGAACATAGGTAGTTGCATCAACACTCGCAAGCATTTATATGTCAAAAATTGTAAAAAAAAATATTTGCAAAAATAAACCTCCAATCGGAGGTTGTTATGACATGCATTTTTCGATAATTTTTACAAATTTCAATAATTTTCATTCAAAAATTTCAATTCCAAAATTGTTTTTATAGTTCACTATACCAGCAGCTGTGTTGATGCGCCTACCTGCATCATTTTATCATATTTCTTGCGGTATTTCCATGGTAGAATAATACAGGTTATAACAAGTGTTGTTGTACAACAACGACATACAAATTTGTTTTTGTACGTAATACAAGTGTCAGAATTATGTGTACAAAAATGTAAACAAAAGAATTGATTTTCAATAAATTATTTTATTTTCATAAATATACATTTTTGGAATTTGGATTATTTAATTGAAGATGCAAAAGAACAATCCTTAAAATATTTAAATTCAATGTTTTCACATCATTCCCCAGAATGTATAGTTGTTAGCTGTTGGTCCTAATCTCTCAACACTTCAAGCTATCGCTAGAAAATCGTGGAAAAGGCAACATCCCTTTCAAGTTGAAACCAAACAGCATACATACATAAAGTATTCTACATTTTGCAATTTTGTGGTGTCGCTGTTCCTTAACGGCAAAAAAGTTTCCGAACCATCGGTGATTTTTTCTATTATTAGATAAAAAATATGTTCACATTGTCCTGCAGTGAAATTATATATATGTATATTATAATAAAAATGTTGACATATCAATGTAATTGATGTAATTAATGCCTTTATTTTTTTAAATTTAGCTGTAATGATAAAGCGTTCCCCACAAAATGTGTTATTTTGGTATTCAAAGAAAAATTCCATTCTTTTTTGAACTTTCATCTTATCGATAGGAAACCTTTCCTCAAGAGCAATTTTCTATTAGTTAGAGGTGAGAATGTATAAAACGCATTTTTGACTGACTTAAGTCATTGGCTGGCTTCTTCGTAGAGGAACCAAGGAGTTTTAGGTTGACATAGTTCGATCTTGGCCCTAGGCTCCTTTCTTCATTTCCGAAGAAGCCAGCCGATGACTTAGGGTGGAAATACATAAAGCGCATATTTGGCTGGCTTAAGTCATCGACTGGCTTCTTCGTAGATAAACAAAGGAATTTTACGTTGACTTAGTTCGACTTTGGCCCTAGTCTCCTTTGTTCATTTCCGAAGAAGCCAGCCGATCACTTCAGCCAGTCAGAGAAGCGTTTTATGTATACTCACCTTTAAGCCAGCCAAATAAGCGCTTTATGTATTCCCAGCCTAACTCCTTACTGAGCAAATGTGTCATGGTATGAATCTTACCGTGGCTACGTTTCCCCCTTTTTAATGGTAAAAATAGCAAAAGTGCGAACTATCATAGAAAAAAAGTTAAAAATATTTGGAAACGGAAAAGTAGAAACACTGAGCAAAAACATTAAAATCATGTCAACAATATGTGTGTCAGGTTACTTTTCCTGCAGGAATTGTCCCGCAAATGCAAGAAAAACGTAAACAGTAAATACACGATGGCCCTTCAAAGACTTCCAAGCAATCAGTTGATTTGTCATATAGAAACAATTTGTCCGCAATAAAAAGAAATTAAAAATCAGTCGGAAAACAAAATAATTAGGCTTGCGATTTGCAAGAATTTGCAAACTCTCAAAATTTCGATTTTGAGCCGCTCTTTTTGTTTTGCAGGATTTTTGTTCCAGAACTGAAAGAATGTAAAAGTTTTTACTGCGAAAGTCGATCGTTGCTTTATGATATCAAAAAATATTTCAAAAATTGTAAAATTAGTAGATTTTTGCAGGTTCTGTAACAGAGCATGTGTTAACGGACATCCGGTAACAATTTGCAGAAAATGTAAAAAAGTTAGGGTCCCAGACACACCTTATAATGACTCTACCAAACAGCTGATGAAAATAAATTAACAAACCTTTTATATTACGAATATCAACAGGAAATTTGTTTGTTTATATACATTTTTTTCTCATTGAAATGTCAAATTCGAAGTTTGGAAGTTGTTCCAGTCATGGCACAATAAAATGCCAATTTTGTGTATGGATTTATTGTTTTGAACAATGAAAACAAAATATTTTCAAAACCATTGATTGAAAGATACGTACCATGGTAGAAGAATACAGGTAGTCGCATCGACACAATTGAAAATTTTGAATGAAAAATTATTAAAATTTGTAAAAATTGTTGAAAAATGCATATTATAACAACCTCTGATTTGCGTCGTATAAAAAATTAAAAAATCCACTTATTTTTCATAAAACATTTTAGAAATTTTGACATATTCTTTCTACCATGACATTGCGGCTCGCGGTTTAAAGCTATTAACCAGTTTAGCCATAAAATTGTTGGTATTTGCAATTGTACATCACATGAGCACGGTAACCCATGAGAATACCCAAATGATTAATAAAAATATTAGATGTGGCAGCATTGTTTCATATGTACATTGTACAAATATACGCATACTCTTTTATGTTCTCTCCTCTCTTATTTATTGCAGTTTATATAGTTTGCCATACCACATACATCATCCTAACATTCTATGTAATACATAGTTCACTTTTGTAACGTTCAGTTAGTTGTCTTTTACTTCTTCTTAAATAAATAACTTGAATTGTTAAACTTAAACGATCCTCGTGTCTCAACAATTGAAGTTAAAAGATTGGATTATATTTTTGATAGAAAATCCAAGCATTTCATTCATTTTTCGCGCCATTTAACTCACTTTAAAAATGCGGGAAAATATGAAAAAAAAAATTAAAACAACTTGTTGTATATAATTTTGAATGAGTCTGACAGGAAGCGGGCATAGCCTCAGGGCTGTATTTCTATAGTTTTACGAAGCTGTTCTACCTCCAGTATTCTACCTTCTGTAATTGTACCATGCATGCATTTTTTTTCAAAAACGAGTTCAAAATTCGATTGTTTCATACCAAGAACTCTAAAATGTTTCCCCACAAACGTAGATATATTCATTTCTGTTAACGCAGATTTTTAAAACATTTAAAATAATCCTGATTTGCTATTCCTTTATGTAATTTGAGTGCAAAAATTAACCACTGTGGGATCATAAAAAGTAAACAAAGACCAGAGTCCCTAGGGAAAAAAATAGAGAATTGATCTAATTTCTTGTTTCTGTAATGTGAACTAAAATCAAAAAAGGATAAAAAGAAAATATTGAAATGTAGATTAAACGTTTATTTGTGTTTACAAATCATGGAGAAAAGTAATTTTAAAATTATAACACATTGTGAAAATACATAAAATGGTACAACTTGATATTAGCTATAAAAAATATGGAAAATTGTTACAATTTTTTTATTTTCTTTAAAATAAATAAGAATTTCCCTATTAAACATGTACATACATACATATATAAACGAACGATATTCTCGCATATCGTCAATGTTCATATACAAAAATATTTTTCATCAATAATAAATATAAGATGTAGTTCATGTTTTTGTTATAAATTTAATACAAATGAAATTTCAAACATTTCGTCTTCTTTATATGTTATTTATTTTATATGTTCTATTAACGGCCTTATGAACCCATTGGGTTTAGATATAAACTGCTCTGCTTGAATCGTACTTCCTATTTTCAAGTTGCCAATTTATTGTTGGCTTTAAAACACAACACGGCAAATCCCTCCCTTGACAATTTTGTTTAACAAAAACACTATTCACAACCAATTTCTAAATATACGTTTAAAGAACTAGGCTTTATAGACGTTCATACGCCGGTGCTCATTCACTCATCTTAAAAATGTACCAATATGCCAAAGGTTGAAATTAAGTACGGTTTATATGGTCTTGTTGCATTGTCTGGTTAGTTCATAAGAAGTACGTTAAGCATGTAGACAGCCCCGTCATAATATAGTTTTGTAGTAAATACTTAACATTTACCTGTTATATTAAGCTTGAGCTTGAAGGTACTTAATATTTTAATCCGATATATGTACACAAATGTCATTCAATAACACTAAAAATTCCATAATATCTTTTTAAAAAATAACACTTCTTAAGGAACACTTGTTAACGAAAAGTATATAAATTATTTTTACGTTAACACATACATACGATCTGATATTGGTTTATATAGACATAAAATTGATAAGTGTTTAAAGCACAATTTTAGTTTTAAATTATGTAAAATCAGTGTTTTTAAAGCCAAGGAGGGAGGACTGCAAATGGCCTGACGGTGTAATCTTGTAAATACATCCTTACATTTCCCATGCAATTTAAGTAATTTATTTGGTATAGCCAATAAATGAAGATTACCATAAGAACAATAGATTTTATCGGCTAAGAATAAATACTTTCAAAATCCAAAGTGAAGCTGTATTGTTGAAGAATTTTATTTACTTTAGAATAGATGAGGACAACATTAAAAATAACAAGTGTTCCTGGAACCTTTTTTACGTAAATTTTGGGTGTACACGTGAATGTTGAAATGTTAATCAATTTTAATTAAAAGCGATTGGCAGATTTTTTGTTTATCCGTGGACGCTTTTGACACCAGAGATGGTTTCAACTTTTAGTACTTAAAGCAAATACATTTTACAAGAGGTTATTATGGTATGAAATTTTGTTGTAAGAAATGTAATAAGAAATAAAAATAAATTTATATATAACTATGATGTCGCATTTTTTGATAGAAACAAACTTCAAAACGTAAATCAAAATTGAGGTTATTTAAATGTTTTTTTTTTTTTTTTTTTAATAATTTGCCCTTGGCATTAAAAAAAGCTTTGCTTTGATTTATTATAAATATGTATATAGATTTATGGTTAGATATTTGTCGGTGAAAATAAAGTTGTTTAATTATTTTTTTTTATATTTTGAGAAAACTATTTGGTATTGTTTCGCTTCGCTATGTTTCATTAATATGATGAAACATACGTTTAACATTTACTAACCCTTTATTTGCTGTAAAATTCAGGTTCATTAGTTACAGTTTGGATTAACATTACATAAATTCATATCTTGGGACTAAAGGGTTTCTACAACGAAACTCAGACGTGAAAGCAACCCGTTATTCTAGACAAATAAATTATATTTTGTCTGTAGGAAGAGGGCTAAGGGGGAATTTAACCGCAGAAAAAGGTTCTTTACAACAATACGATACTTATAAAGGACGTAATAGGATCTGATGCCGTCAATTCTAATGCATGCTAAACTTTACAACAATTATAGTAAGGGATTTCAGTTGAATTCAACTCCAAATACTAACATTCTTAACCAACAAAACATTTTATCAAAATATAAATCACGATAAATCTAAACAGAAACAATTTGATTTAAAGTTGAGCCGACGAATGATATGAATATGTGTGTTCTTGCGAATATATGCTGGCATAAGTGCACAATTTTATAACCCTCATCCTGCGAACATAGTCAACACGTTTTAATATTGCCATAACTTGTAAACTGTAGGAAAGAAACAAAGAAAATTAATAATCGAATCTTATACGCTTTTCAGTTTCTGTAGTAGAATTCTCTTATTTTTTGCGTTATCGCAAAAACTTTCAAACTTTTAATTTTCATTTTTGTCACTAATTTCATTATTTATCAAAATTATATACAATTTCATTAAGTGAAAAAATATTATCGACAATTCTCTTACTAGAGAATATTAGAGCAAATTTTCTACAATTCGTTGCTTTCTAATGCAGGATGGAGGCAATAAAATAAAAACTCTCTGTAAATGTGACGATAAATTCTCGTTGACATAAAAAAATAATATTTTGTATATAGGCCGTCAACCAAAGTGTAATTTCCTCATCAATAAGTACTACTTCTTCCTCAATTACAAGAATGCATAGTCAAACAACGGACGGCAAGGATTCGCACTTTTAAGATTAAGCATACTTGTTACTGTGCAAGTCGTGAGAAGCCAATACAAATCATGATTCCGGGTTTACATTAAATTACAATGTCTATTATTTTATCTTTTAACCGGACGAATATTTCCCTCAACAGTTATGGAGAACAATTTACTATGACTTTTAATTAAATGTAACACATCACAGCTACTTGTATTAATTGTTTCTGTTTATATGTATAGTGTAAATAAAATATTTTCTATACTTCATTCCATTATTATCTGTTTCATTATCAGCATTTGCTCAACATGATTTTCTTAATTATTTTTTTATGGTTTTTTTTCATTATAGAAATGTGATATTATAAATATATAAACTAAAGTAGATTTTTCAGGATAAACTCAATGTTTAAAACACATGTAGACAATTCATGTGAACTTGAGGTTAATAGTTTAAATGTGTATATATGTATATAAAATGTTATTTATGTTGTAATAAAAAAAATATTTTTCTTTAAATATATATTTTATATACCACACCAAATTAATAATTTTGGTTTTATGTATATATAAGTAAGGTAAATCTTTTGAAAAGGTTACGAAATTCGATTACAAAGTGGAAATTTAGCAACGAAGGACATAATTAAAAAAATATTTATTTTGATTTTTTAACTTAGTACATATATTAAAAGATTTTTGAAGAACTTAGAACGAAATGTGTTTTATGTTTCAGATGTTTATCGAAAGTAAAATAAATATCGTTATATAATTTATCGTTATGTATGTTTTGTTTCTTTTTTATTTTGTGTTATATATTTTTAATAGTATAACATATCTCATCATTGGGATATTATAAAAATATATCAAATTTGACAAATTGTTTCATAAAAATAAAAACATTGGATATTTAGTTAATAAACACATAATAAATTTTATGTCTGCATATATATACTATATATAATTTTTTATATTTATAATTTTATTCCAGTAGTTAACATTCGCAAAATAGCGTAATTTCAATTTCTTTAAGAAATATATTTATCATTTGTTTTTCATACATTTATATAATTTTTTGGATATAGTTTGGGTTAGGAGAGTACAAAATTGTTGTTTACTATTGTAAGCTTCATGTGCTTTGATCATTCGTAATTAATATACAAAGATATATAAAAGCCGGTAAAAAAAACCTATCCAAAAAAAATCTATTTTCATGAAGTTGAGAAACACTTAGAGAGAGAATGAGAGGGTGGTGAAAATAGTGAGTGTATAAGCATTAATTTTTCTGCAAATACTTTTGCACTACTGCTATACCTAAACAATTCGCCATATACATTAATAAACAACAACAATAATATCGTTTCGAATTGTTATAAACTAGAAACTAAAGACATGAATCATAAGGTTAAAAGGCGCGAAATAAAAACTTATAGTGTTACAATTTTCAAGAAACATACACAAGAATGATAATAAATTAAATTATTATAAAAATCTCAACAATTTTTTTTTTTATAAAATTAACCCTATGTTAAAACAATAATCAGCTGATTTTAATATACATGATAAAGGCATTTTAGGATTTTATGGGCGTATGGGTTAAACCTTGGTAGGCTAAATCAGAATTCAAAGACAAATAAAGAATCACAGAGAATCCAAAAACACATTTAGTCTTCTTCGCAAAACTTGACACATTAATAATTTACTACTATCACTTTGCTTATTTTACACGCACATATACACTCACATATTATCGAAAAGCTGAATTATTGTTACAAATATTCTATTTCATTGCTTCAGTTGACTTGCAATGAATTTTGTTCTAAATTTGTATAACGTATTTACCATTATTTACTCTAGTTTTATGCCGCTATCATCGCCACCTGTTGGCCACATCTTGTCAACAATTTCTTTAATATCAAGTTCAGTGTCTTCAAGGTTTCGCGATTGACATTGTTCTCCTTGTGATTGCTGTGGGTTTCTGGCTAAATTGTTACTATTAATAAGACTTTTAGAATTTGGTGTAACATGTGCAACTGGATGGGTCGCCAAATTCACATCCTTGCTCCAGAAGGTGTTTAGACCCAGATTCATTGAAGTTCCATGTTTAGAGTTACTGTTCCACAGCATATCATCATTTAAAGCTGGATTCTATAAAAAAAGGTAAAGGTATTTATTATAGTCTCCGTCGATTTGTTGTCACAACATGGAATAATACACTGTGCGATAAAAATGTAAAAGCACTACTAAAAATATAAAATGCATATGGTGTTGTTATTACATTTGCTTAGAGTTGGGAATAAACTCTAAAAAAACTTTAATTCAAAGTGGCAAAATTTTTTTATTAACGATGAACTTTGAAGTTTACATGAGATCTCAACCAAACATTTTATGTGTTGTTAAAGCCGTATGACAAATCAGATCAAATTTGATCTTACATATTTATAAAATTGATGCCACTGACATTTTGCGAAATACGTTTCGAAAAGAAAATGCTAAACTCAGAAATGATTTGTTTTAGATGTTTTTTAGAATATTTTGCTTAAAAAATTTATTTTTTGTCTGTCGACTTTACTGTGGTTTTAGTACACGGTGAGATAAAAAACTGCAAAAGAGTCAAACGTCATAATTTTAACATTTTTTTTATATTCCTGAATGAAAACAAAAAAATTCGGAAAAAGCATCAAATATTAGAATAAGTTTAGATATGTTCGAATTGGTCACATTTGGAACGAATTATGGCCTTCAAATGACCAATGAAACCGAAACACTTAGAGAGAGAATGAGAGGGTGGTGGAAATAGTGAGTGTATAAGCATTAATTTTTCTGCAAATACTTTTGCACTACTGCTATACCTAAACAATTCGCCATATACATTAATAAACAACAACAATAATGTCGTTTCGAATTGTTATAAACTAGAAACTAAAGACATGAATCATAAGGTTAAAAGGCGCGAAATAAAAACTTATAGTGTTACAATTTTCAAGAAACATACACAAGAATGATATTACATTTGCTTAGAGTTGGGAGTAAACTCTAAAAAAACTTTAATTCAAAGTGGCAAAATTTTTTTATTAACGATGAACTTTGAAGTTTACATGAGATCTCAACCAAACATTTTATGTGTTGTTAAAGCCGTATGACAAATCAGATCAAATTTGATCTTACATATTTATAAAATTGATGCCACTGACATTTTGCGAAATACGTTTCGAAAAGAAAATGCTAAACTCAGAAATGATTTGTTTTAGATGTTTTTTAGAATATTTTGCTTAAAAAATTTATTTTTTGTCTGTCGACTTTACTGTGGTTTTAGTACACGGTGAGATAAAAAACTGCAAAAGAGTCAAACGTCATAATTTTAACATTTTTTTTATATTCCTGAATGAAAACAAAAAAATTCGGAAAAAGCATCAAATATTAGAATAAGTTTAGATATGTTCGAATTGGTCACATTTGGAACGAATTATGGCCTTCAAATGACCAATGAAACCGACACACGCTGCCCCATTGTTGCTCTGTGGTATTTTGGTCCATTCCCGGCGAGGCGCTTGCTTGAGGTTATCAACACTTGGGTATTTTTAGTGCCAGCCTTGCTTTCCAAAATACTCCAAACACAATAGTCCAACGGATTGGTATCCGGAGATTTTGGTGGCCATTAATACGAGACGAGAGCGACCATCGGCTGTTATGGCGGCCCACACCATCACCATGGCCGGCGCTTGAGTTCTGGTGGCCAACCGAAGGTGCACATTTTCAGTTGACCTCTTTGGCAAGTAAACACAATCTTTTGCTTGTTTACAATAATGCTTTTGTAGGCTTGTAAACAACAGAATGAGCTGTCACTGGAATAATTTTAACAGCTTTCGGACGAGTGGCTTAGAAATGACAGCAGTCTGAGTTGGTTGCAGTTTTTTCATCTCACCCAGTGTTTTTTGAAAATGTTGAACTTTTGTTAGATTTTCACACCTTTTCTACAATATTGAAAAGTCCTAAAATTACTTATTTCCAGTATTATGCGATTAAGTTGCATTAATTGGCATAGAACTAATACAAATAATAGGATTTCTAAAGTTTCAATAAAATTGGAGAGAAGGCACCCGAAAGAGTGGACCAATATTGTCCATCTCCGAACTCGATCTAAATTAGAGAGTTATTGTGCACCCACCTACGGATACCCCAAGATCGACTCCAAATGTCCTGTAATAGATTTGGCCCAAAAATACGTAGGGTCTAAAACCGTTATTATGTAGTAGGTTCCAAAGGAATGACCCAATATTGACCATTTCATATCGGACCTAAATAAATATGATGTAAATATTGCGACGTAGTTGTGGACTATATTGATTATTTCCTTTACATTATATGAGATATGTGATAGGACCGATATTGTCCAGGGAACTGTTTTTCTTCAAGACTTTATACACACATAACTTACGGCCGGTTTACTGCATTGAAATGCAGAGAGGATATAGATATACGTTACTGGCAATCTACAAACTAAAAAGTCAGTCAATTATAAATAATTTTAGAGTAGTGATGTATGGAACCGTCCATGGACATATGGGCTAGGTAACTGTGTTAATTGAATAAATAAACCATGGCTATTGAAAGCTTCCAACTAAAGATTACTGAGCGCCATTGTTTTTGAATCGAAAATTATCTCACCAACTTGCAATTTTATAGATTTTGCCTACTATTCAGTTAGAAGTACTTAGACTACCTTGCCAATTCTGCAAATGGCGTGGCAAAATGTAGATGGCATGTCAACACCCCAAGTGTGTATACAAGATACATTAGTAAATTTCTCTTTGTTTTTGTTATACAACCAACCAATCAATATCAATGTGTTATTCATTTAATTTTAAAAATTAGCTTTAATAACAATTTTAAACAATATTCATGCTTAAACAAGTAAGCAAAGGCTATAGGCGTGCGGGGCCGACCATGTGATACCCTACAACACTACAATATGTTGGATGCCCCCTTACGTCCCAATTCATTTTGGAAGGTTTCGATTTTCAAATATCAAATTTGATCTGATTTGTCATACGGCTTTAACAACACATAAAATGTTTGATTGAGATCTCATGTTAGCTTCAAAGGTCATCGTTAATAAAAACAAGCAAGCAAAGGCTTTAGTCGTGCGGGGCCGACCATGTGATACCCTACAACACAACAATATATTAAAAGACCTCTTATGTCCAAATCCATTTTGGAAGATTTAGCATTTTAAATTATATCACTTAGCATTTTGACTAGGGACATTTGCCCAATATTTAGGCACTCCGCACAACTAACAGCACTAGTTGTTGTGGTCCATTTTACAGCTAAATATAATCCAATGGTCATCCAAAATGCTGGAATTCTTCCCTATCCTTAACTCTCTTCCCAGGCGTGTCGATCAATTGTGTGATCAGGACATTTTTTCTGTTTTTGGTTCATTTGAACTCCTAAATATTTTGCGATCATCAGCAAGAGGCCTCTCTGTATCTTCAAATTTAGACTCATCTATATGATTTGCTTGTCTACGATATTTGGCTATATTCGTCAACGAAATCAGCATAAAAAATCCAAAAGTTTGCCTTTTGTGTATTTCGAATATCATCTAAGGTTGATATTTTTTCACACAAAAGGAGTGGTCCATTCTACCCGCAATCCTAAACTCTAACTTCATGCAAGATTTCGCGTCCTTTGGTTTTTATGTGCGACCTTTATAACGGCTGCAAAATCAGCAACAGTTTTAGTTGTTGGTCCATTTCAACCCCTAAATATATTGCGGACATATTTGAAAACAAAAGGCCTAGCCCTTCTGAGCCGAATCCTACCCTTGTGAAAATTTTCGTGACGATCGGACTATAATTGAAATCTGTATATAATATCCCCAACCTGTGTTGTAAGGTGAAAAAATATTATAAAATATTCATTTCAATATTAAGTCAAATTGAAAAATTGCATCCGATAAAAAATATGAAAAAATAAAAAAATGTCACAAAATACAAAATATATGTTAACATCACTATTGGCATTTTATTCTTTCATGCCAAAATGGCATTCTGAGTTGACAAAATTTGTCAAAATCGCCCCATCCATTATTGAGATATATGCATTCTAGCCAACATCCCCCTCCTTTGTATATACACATTGTATATATTTCGCTATATATATCCTCGGCCTGTGGAGCAACTGCAAAATCAGGAAATTTTTCAGTTTTTGGTCCATTCCAACCCCTAAATATTATGGGATCATCTCGAAAAGCAATAGGATTCTATTCTGGCTCAAGCTCCACCTCCATTCTAAATTTCGGAAGATCGGGCCATAATTGCGACCTGTAATTTCGTTCGAAAGCTAGAGTGATTTCCACAGACGGATGGACATCGCTATATCGACATAGGATTTTATGCTGATCAAGAATATTTGTGGGGTCTAAAATATATATATTTCGGAGGGTATAAAAATGTTTATATCTACTTCGAAAAAATCATAGATAATAACATCAAACGCATTAACAATATGTATTAAAAACATGTATACTTGCCTTGGTTATATCCGATTCAAAATTATCTTGACCCAATATGTCATACAGAGGATTGAGATCGAAAGGAAAACGATTCCGTGTTTGTTGATGGTCATGTTCGTCGGAAATGGTAGATTCATTCATAAATGAAAGTTTGGAGAGCGTTGCCTGCATATTTTCGTAGCCTTCAAACGAATTTGTGGATTGCGGCGACGTTTGTGCTCCACAAGCAATATCTACAACATTACCCGCAGCTACGTTATCTATAAATGTGTCCGATGTTGATTGTGATGTTGCATGTTTACTCAGTGTCATACCCAATGGATCGTTATTATCCAATGAGAATACTGTAAAGTCATTGCCATTGCTATTTCTATTATTAGACGTAGTTCCTATACTATCACTATCTTGAGATATTAGAGCATTCCAAGAATCTACAAAGGTGTTTGTGTTATTTGTGGATTGTCCCTTGTACATTGGACAAATCGGCCCATACTTATTTCCTAGTGAGGCTGTTGACGTTGGCGGTACATCAAATGTTGCTGCATCATCATCTAATATAGAATCCGACCGCACGAAATTTTCTCGATCATGGAACAGTGACGTCGATGGCGATGGTGGTTCAATGTTTATACTATTGCTGGTTGTGCCCATAAAATGTGCACCGCTATTATTGGGTTGCTCATTACAATTGCCAATATTCCAAAATGGATTTGGTTTATCATGTAATACCATGGGGTTCTTATTTTTTACTCTTGCAACGTCTTTAAGAGTAGTTCCAGATCTATCTAGATAATTAGATTTTCCCTTGAACATAAAGTTATCCGGCAAATTTAATGAGGATTCTGCTATGTTTGTTGCAGGCTTATTGTTGTTGTACTCCATTGGAGTTTTATCGAAGAACACATTAGCGTCTAATGGTGGTCGCTGAGTGAGATGTTGATGTGGTTGGCTGAGTGGAGGTGTCATATACATAGGATGTTGGTGGTTAGAGGCATATTCCGAATTATTTATAATTGGCGGTTGACAGGACTGCTGGTGATGGGCATCCCACAAAGGATTTGATGCTACCTTTGCCGCTTTTGCTTTGGACATTCTCATAGACATATCCCCTGTACCTGGAATCATGTCAGCAGTATTGGCATTCGCAAAATATGACCGAGGTGGTGTGGGATTGAAAAAATCTCCCTGCATCGTCGTATTATTGAACATATTTTTATGCAATGGACTTCCTGATGGCTTATTTGAGTTTGTGCCCTGTAAATTCGGTGGGTTTACAACGGTGGTAATATTTATCGGGTTATGCACGGAAGATCTAGGTGATAGAATGCCCTGTCCTGGTAGACCTCCTCCTATACCACCTGTGGCCAGTACTCCACTGCTGTTTATAGGCCCTCTTATATTGTGTGGATGCATATTTGGTGGCATTGGCATCCCCATATTTGGCATACGCATGTACTTTCCATTATAATTGGTAGGAATAAAAGGCATGCCCTCAAAGTTAGGTGGATGTTTGTGCACTGGCGGCACATTTATTATGGGCGTGGGCGCATTCATTCCTAACAAGTGTCCGGGCTGCGGTATAGGGCTAGAATGTAAAGCATTAAGAGGTCCTTGCATGCTTAAGGGTGACGTTGTATTAGAAAGATCTCCCATGAAAGCGGCTGAATCCAACATGTTGGGGCGCATACCAATACCAATCCCACCACCGCTTGCATCATTGTTAGAATATTTCCTCATAGGCGAGGATTTTACTTTAACTGGAGAATTCCCATTGTCAAGAGCATTCGATAGTGTAAGAGTGTGCTGTCCCGCATGTGGAGGAACAGCATTGTTGTTTGGATGTTGAGTTGGGTTTTTGGGATACTCATTTTTCATATTATCTAATTGACCGCCAGGAGAAACTCCTGCAACTGTGTGTGGTCTAACCATTGCTTTGTCTCCAGGTCCCGACCTTCGATGTTTAGCGCGATATCTTTGTCGTTCCTCAGCTGAATGTGCAAATGTACAATTCGGCCCGCGTGGACACATCCGTCTTTCAGTTAAATCCCGGCATAGACTTATTTTATATTTTCCATTTGCATTCATGGATGGTGTCGGATAATCCTGTACTTTACGCGTACTGTGGTATTGCATGAATTTTACTAAGCCCAGAACAACAAAACGGACCGCTTCTAAAGCTTTTTCGACTTCGGACCATGTTGGAGGCGTGCTTTCCAGCGATGGATCAATAGAAGCCAAATGCTTCAAATGTGGACGCAAGTTGGATAAGTTTGTTGGGTCTCCTGTGCGCTGCAAGGCCAAAACCAATTCTTGGACAGATTGGGCAAAAGATGACGGTGTTTGTAAAGTATCACATATGCTCTGCATGTGTGATTTATGGGAGGTGTTTCCATATAGCAATGACGACCATTGGTCGGGCGCTATTCTTAATCCAGCCTCCGTGGCAATTTGCACAATCTGAGCGTCGTGTTCTCGACGTAAAGCTTCGTAATTGCGAAATTCTTCTTTTAGTTGCATTAATGATGAATCGCCTTCTCTCTTCGAAACCTTAAAACAACTAGCGCGATATAACAATTGCACCACGTGACCAATACTGGTCTTAGATGCCGGCAATGAGTTATCAATCAAACGCTGCACAACATACATGACCAGAACTTTACGAGATAAAGCAGATCCGTTTTGTAAAGCCTGCAATACCAATTTTAACACTTCCTCCTGCATAGACGGTCCAAGAAATTGACAACCTCTTGAACGAACTGCCGCCCACAGACACAAACTCAGCTGTTGTGGATTCTGATGTTGTAATAATAGTTCAGTAACCGTACGTTCACCCAGAAACCTTGCTGTTCGAACTGCTCTTATACGACCCTCCTCTTCCATTAGTTGGCAGTTAACCAATGTAACCAATTTCCGCAACATTGGACGTGTTAACAACGGATTGCCACTATTTGTAACAAACGATTTCAAATACTGGGCCAGATCTTCGATGCATTTCTTAGATGATTTATAACATTTTAAATCATCTGGTTTTAAATTACGAACACTAGGCGGAATATGTTGATCTCCTACAGCGCCGTCATTTTCATTGCCCACTCCATATGTTTTATTCGTACCCGTTGCCGATTTCGTATTGGAGCCTGTATTAGAAGCGGAGACGTTGTTGTCTCCGCTGTTGTTCTTTCCATTGCTCCCACCATCATTACCGTCCCCTGAGTTAAGTAGTTGCAACAATGCATTGTTTATTGGTAAGTTATCAACATCAGTTGAAATTGTCGTCTAAAAATTTAGAACAAGAACTTAAACATTAAATGAATTGAATAATATTAATAAATACCATACCTGATCAAATGGACATTGACGTCTGTAAAGAGTCGATAGGCAGACACGACATATCGTATGGCCGCATCCTAAACTTATGGGCAAACGTTGATTGTTTGAAAACTCGTTTTCACAAATGGGACAGGTATAAAATTCTGTCCACGAAGGCGCCTGAAACGGCATTCTGTGTGGAAAAGAAATATATGTATATATATTTATTTGTTCATAATTACTAGCGGGTGGTAATAGATATATTTATTTTATAATGCAATTTAAGTCCATATAATGATATAGGAAGTAGAACAATACAGGGGTTTTCAAAATTTTGAATTATCCATGATGATGGACCTACGCAAGCTTCAACAATGCATTGAAATGATTATTATTTATCACAAAAATTGCAAGAATCTTGCAGTCGAAGTTGACAAAGCAAAAGAATTTCTTTGTGAACCACCACTTGCTGAGACATCTTAGTGATGTGAAGGACAAAACCCACGTAGCCCCTAGTATTGAAGGAAACCAGATTTGATCATTCCCCGTCGTTCTCAAGTGTTGTTCCTTCCACAAACAATATTACACCGAATTTTGCATGAAGATTTGGGTCATGAGACCTATAAAGTTCAATTGGCACAAACTCGAACCTTGTAAATTATCAACAACACCGTTGTCGAGGTTCGAACAAACCTCTATCCTCGTAAACCAATAAGGCCCACCGTGCGTTCTACCCCAATTTTTTTCTTATCAACAATTTCGGCGAACGGATTGCGATATCTAGAGATGATTGGTGATATTTTATGGTCAGAGTTGGATGACATTGATCTGAAAAATGCTTTATTCGTCAAGACGGGATATGCTTCAGGACAAAGGTGATAACACTTGGTAACCGAGATCTTGCAACACCTTGCGACTTCGTCCTTTGAGGACACGTGAAATGTTGACACAAGCATCGATTCAAAAGCCAAAAGTCACTTTATGAGTTGGTTTAGTAAAATGTCATGAAAAGCATACGATATTGTAAGCATGCTTGTGGGGCCCATTCAGTTCATATGGTTTTTCATTATTAGTGGCATACCTTTCTGTTTATTATTATCATCCGATCATTTATCTCATAAAAAATGTATTTTTCTTTAAATACTGAAATAACATACCTTATGGGAAAATCCTTTAATTTTCATAAATAATTTACTATAAAACATTAGAAAACGTCTACATTTTTACATTTTGATTATAACGTAAGCCACTATTAGGATGTCAAGAACTGTGATTAACGACAACTATAAATATATATGTGTGTACAAAAAAAAGAGCATCAACAAGCAGTAGTCTGACAAATACTACAACAATGCATAAAGAGAACAATGGGGCACATACAATATTGAACTACTCAGCTGATTTTGTTTTGGTAAACTTGAAAAGACAATTGAAAATGCGATAATAGTATTATATTTAAAGAAGATATTCACAAATTAATATTGTTGTTGTTACTATTAGCTGAATCAAAATAACACTTAGCAATATATTCAGATTCGCACATCTGCATACATAGATAAAAGAGAAAATAATTGGTTAATTTGGTGGTATTCTATCGAGAAAATATACATTAGAAGAATATGCGTAGGCACATATGAAAAAGATTTCTTGTTATTGCCAGTGCGGGAGGTAGGAAGTGTCTCCTCAGAGAAATGCCAAAGACACAAAACGTATTGGTTCACAACGTCATTATGTATTATTAAGATTAGCAACAGTAACGCAATTATGAGACAATCACAAGACAATACAATAAATTCCAATATATAAGACAAAAATACAAAAAATTGAAAAATAATCAACGTCAGCAGCGCTGCGTGCGTTGCATTAAAAATTTTCACAAGTACAAATACCAAAATCGGTGACAGCTGTAGCCATTTCAGCGAAAAGTTGATATAATTTTCAAAGATATTTAAACATAATTAATTACACAATTTCATAAATGAGTAATATTTACGATTCTTCAAGTTTGAATGTATTTTCTTATATTTTTTTTAGAAAAGTTGTTACGTTTCACTTTTGCTTTTCTTCTTTTTGTCTTTTCTTTTTTACACACCTTCAAAATGCACATATTATTCTTTTCTTCCAAAAACTTTTTTGTTAACAGTGCTTTTTATCAGATTTAGATAAGTATACGATTAACAATGTAATTTTAAATTGTTGACTAAATGAAATACTATCTTTTCCTTAATAGACGAAATATTCGTCACAAAAATGTATTTTTTATTTTTTTTTTTCGAGAAATAAAAGAAAAATGACAAATGTATTTTTGATGACAAGATAGGGTTCTATAGTTTGACTTACAACTATTTGACGTAGCAGCAAAAAAACGATAATTTTACATCGATTTGACTCCGATAATAAAATACGAAGGCGACATATCAAACTGGCGCATTATGTTCTCAATTGTCTTACAAAATTTTCACATTAAATTTGAAATTAAAAACAAAAGTATTTACATGAATAATGCAATTGAATGGCAGTATAAAATATCAAGGGCTAAGAAAATGCAGGATAGTCCAACCTACGAAGTAATGCCATATTCACAACAGAACTTTTTGTCGGGCTTCAGTACGTTTACATAGAAATCTTTATCAGGGATAATCCTGATAATTGAACAATCAAAATAAATTCAACTTTTTAAAATATATTGCGATTAGACAAATATATTGCATTGTCGCTCGTGCATTAAAGCTATTAGCCAGTTTAGTCATGAAAATGAAAAATTGAACAGCTGGGATCATATTTTTGAGCGAAAATCCATTCGTTTCATTAATTTTTCGCGTTACGCAACTCATTTTAAAAATGAGGAAAAATATGAAATAAATGAAAACAACTTGTTGTATATAATTTTGAATGAGTCTGGCAGGAAGCGGGCATAGCCTCAGGGCTCTATGTCTGTAGTTTTTCGAAGCTGTTCTACCTCCCTCCTTATTGTACCATGGGTTAACCCACTGGAGTTGGATTACACTTGTCCATTACTTATACTACAAATAAATCCTCTTAAAGTTAGTTAGCCCTACAAAAATTTGTAACGTAAATATGACTGGATTAATTTTACAAAATTAGGTGTTTATTTATTGCTAGTTTATTTATTTTATTGCTAGTTTCCTTTTTATTTATAAAATTTGTACAATTGGTGGAGCTTCTTTTCTTTTTATACCCTCCACCTTGGAAAGGAGGGTATATTAACTTTGTCATTCCGTTTGTAACATCCTTAAATATTCGTCGTAGACCCCATAAAGTATATATATTCATAATCAGCATAAAATCGTCGATCGGGAGGTACCGTTATATGGGGACTATACCAAAACGTGGACCTATACATACAATGTTTCGCCACACGAACTAGTACCCATTATGACCTACAAATACCAATTTTTAGACAAATCAGTGAAGAATTGTGGCAAAAATAATCAAAATGCCGAATATCGGGAGTTACCTTTATATGGGGGCTATACCAAAGCGTAAACCTATACATGCAATGTCTCGCCACACGAACTGAGATCCGTTATGACCTACAAATACCAATTTTCAGACAAATCCGAGAAAAAATGTGGCATAAATAATCAAAATACCGAATAACGGAATAACAAAGTTAATATACCCCCCTTTCCAAGGTGGAGGGTATAAAAACACGTCACTGACGACGAAGGATTTTTGTTGTAACGGACAAAACAAATGTACATGTGTTGTGTTCCGGTACTTTTTAATAGTAAAACTATTAGAAGAGAGAGATGTTACATTCGCTCTGAGAGAACCGTATTGTATAGAAAGTCAGGAACGTCAAACTAGTAAAAATGTCAATACTACGAAATCGAAATTTAAACCAATCAGAAGATCAGCCAAAAGAGAACGTCATGCCTATAATTTTTACTAGGTTTTCGAGTACGGGAACGCTTTTCAAGTAAAAAATTGTAAAACAAGTACAATATAGTACTGCATTGTGGTTTGTTACAGAACTGTAAGATGGTATCTTCCACTACAGCAAGAATATTAAAATTGTTACTACTATAGCCAATTTTCACTTTATGATATCGAAAAAACTGCAAAATTATTAGATTTTTGAAGTTTCTGTAAAAGACAAAGAATGTACAAGTGTACATCTGCTTGTACAATGAACTGTCAAATCAATTTTAGAATTGAATGTTTCCAAAGAAAAGTTATTCAACTTGTTAAAATTGTTTAAAAATACATGCAATGTATGACATCGTATAAGAAAAGCAAAAACAAGAGTTCCCGAGCATTGACGAATCTACCTGTGTTCTTCTACCATTATGGTAGTATTTCGTTCTACTTACCAATTAAACAGATCATGTAAGTACAACGAAAACTACAATAAGGTGTGTACGATAACTCAATATTTTGTGATACTTTAAACAAATTTTTTTCGATAACTTTATTTCAATTCTGTTCCAGAACCTGCAAGAATTTTAGCTCTTTTCCAGAACTGCAACAATGTAAGAGTTTTTACTACGATAACCAATTTTTCCCTTACGATATCGAAAAAAGTTGCCTATTGCATTTCAAACTTTGTGTTTGTTGATATTTAGGCAATTTTGATCAAAAATTAAATAAATAAAAAGAAATAAACACTAATATGAAAAGAAGAATTACATATATTTCTGAATTCCGATCCGCGATTGGGGCGTATAAAGTATATATCGATGGGTAAATGTCAGCAATTCACACATAAACAATTCAGTGGATTTCAATAGACAAGTTCATTGTGTATATGTCAACTAACATCCACTGGGTTTGAGATTCGATTTCAAAGGACATATACGCAATGGATTTGACAGTTCAAATCCACTCGCTTTGGAAAATGTAAACATAATTTAAGATAATGTTCTGATTTTGTATGAATATTGATCGGCTGTGAGAAGCACCATTTTTTTGGTACAAATTGTCACAAAATATAGAAAACGCAAACATACTTATTTTCTATGTTCCAGAACTTGCAAGAATCTACTAGTTTTGTAATTTTTTGTTTTCGATATTATAAAGTGAAAATCAGTTATCGTTGTAAAAACTTTTACATTCTTGCAGTTCTGGAACAGACCAATTATTTATAAATTTTAGTTTTAAGTAAAACAAAAAAAAACAATTGTTATTTTTAATAAATAAAAATGTTTATTTTAGAAATAGACAACATTTATCATAAAAAAATCAATATGCATATTTCAACATTTTACAATATACATGTTCAAATGTTTATTTTTTTCTTTGTTAAAATATATACACAAAAATGGTTAAGAAAACTTTATAGGCCCGCTGGGATAAGAGTTTAGTTTATTTTGAAAGTTACAACTAGCTAACAATAAGTATATCAAAAATAAAAATGAACCAAACGATCTCAGAACAACCAATTGATTATGGTAAAAAACAATTAGGGTTTGCTAATAATTGCTCATTTCTCTAAACACATATTTTCTACTTCAACACACCAATATGAAAAATATAATTGATGTTACATATATACGGTAAATCAAAAGAATTTCGAATTTTAGGCATTTACTTAAAATTGGAGTTTTTGTTGAAGTAATTATATTTTTGGCTTAAAATATGCATTTTGTTTTCATATAACTGCATGAAAATTGTACGATTATAATATCTTTTTAATTGTACGTAATAATCTCTCTAACGTGTACATTATATTCATTAAAAAGGTTTGTTTGTGCTTCTTTGTCTATCATTTCTGTACAGAAATAAGTCCTTCATTAATGCATCTACATTAATTAAAATTCGAAAGGCAACTGAAATCAATCGAATAAGGGTAAGAATATGTAGTCATTTTAATGCAGTAAAATGATTAGTTTGATTTTTTAACATCAGCTCCATAACTTGATGCTTTGCTAATTTTTGACATATTAATAGCTTTTACCATGAATATATAAACTGAAATGAAAAGAAAAAGAAAATTAGTATTATAGTTTAATTGTATGTTATTGTATAAACTATTAAATGAATATTAAGACGGAATGATAATCCGAAAAGTAAATGTAGTTGGAGTCTCTTAATCGGCAATGTTGTTTGACTTCCGGCATCATAAATACATGTATATGTATGTTCTCAAATTGCAAAAAGATTAATATTTATAATATAGGTGAATATTTCAATTTCTTTTAAACTAAATACTTTCCAAATTAAAACTGTGGAACATAAAAACAAGCTATAAAATATTTAAACTCGTGTTATACTTACATGTTACTAGGACGGAAAGAGCAATTGAAAGTCCAATCCAATTCTTCAATATTAATGAAGATGTTAAGTAATACATAATCAGAGATATTGAAAATACGGCCCACGCCAAAAAGTTAATGAGGGAACATAATCGCTTGGGATATACTTTACAGGCTGTTTCTTTGAATCCCGATGTTTTAAAGAAACTACCAGTGGAGTGGAAACTATCAATAATTCTGTCTTTTTCAATGAAAAGGTTTTGCAGCCAAGCCGCAGCTTTTTCCTCATCAGCAGGCACTTGTTCCAATGGGATGCGGCGTACAAACATGAAACCTTCCACAGGTTTCCCATTTAGAAGTGTGGATATGGTCGGAGGATTCTGCAATTAGAATGTGATTTTCATCATGTAACATTATGTAAGACACCATGTAACTTACCACAGCGTCTTTTTTGAAAGCCAAGTTAATATCATAAATAGCTGGGCAACGTCCACGCAAACTATCCAAACTAGCGGTAAAACCTTTTGTTCGAGGTATTAAATGATGTTTCAACACGGTCATGCCACGTTCCTGGGCAAATTTCACCGAAGCTTCATGTTTTTTCTCCGTGAAACGTGTACCCTCAGCATTTAACAAGAGCCAAGTGGGATCTGGATATGCATACACTTCCTTCAATTGACGAGCAATAATTTCCCTATCTTTGTCGAAAGAACGTTCGAGGAAGACAAACTCTGCAAATTTCCATGCCCAGCCGATTACGGGTACATAAGCAATCACTTTTTTGGCATAAGCTTTGCAATTGCCCAATACACGAACCTTTTCTGTGAACATCCATCCAGCCAGCCAATCTATCTCATACGAATGATTCATTATAAGCAAAACATGTTCGTTGCCACAATATGTCTTCTCATCTTCAGCATCCATATAAACATGAAGTTTGCTATTCGAATACCAATCAGCAACAAAGATCAATTCTATTAATTTACGGAATATAATTATTACAAACAAATACAAGCCCATTCATAGATAGTTTGTTCCAACTTACGTGAATACAAAGAGTAACATAAATAGTACATAATTCTTCGGAAGAGCCATTTGTTAAAAGGTTTTAGAGTAAGATGCAGTACTAATTGAATAGCATTTATAATTAGTCCCGATGTAAAGAATGTAATTGCTATACAAAAATGCATAAGTCTTTGCTTTATTTTTTCCATTGAAGACATGATGATTGAAATATAACTATCGCGGTTGTTGGGAAAGCTGGAAAAAATAAAATTAAAATAAGGAAATAAAATTTTAGTTTTTGTCACAAAAATATTTTTTTATATTTAATTACTATCTGAAAATTAAATGAAAATAGAAATATATGATTACACTCACAAATATCTATAAACTTTCCGATGCGTTGCTTCACCGCTAATTTTCAACAATCGACTATGTTAGTAGAATTTAAAATGACCATTTCAGAAACAATATAAAACATGGGTAATTTGAAAAAAAAAAAATACCGTAGCCATATCAAAATGAAATATATTGTCATAGATATAGCGAACAGTAATTAGTGCAACAACAACAATGGAAACAATTATTCTGATAAAACATATCATTTTTTTGTTAAAAATTATCAATTTTAGTTTTAAACACAAAGGTTGGTATTGAGTGTTGATTCCTTGCGGACTTACCAAGTAGTTACTGCTTACCGATAAATCCAATATAAAAAATATTTAACTACTTTTACTTTTACTTTTTTTTTTTTTTTGATTATCAGACATCTTAAAGAAGAACATATGCACCTACATTTTATTATTTGTATAAAAAGTTATAACCTGTATTTATATTTATTATTATGGATCCCATTCTATAAAAACATCAGTACGTTTTCTTTATTTTTTCTTCATTGAGTTCATAAAGAGCTAGTAACGACATATATTATAGCATTGATAAGAACGTAATTGTACATTTATTATTAGCAACTGCCAAACGTTCAATTATAATACCAGATCAAAGTCCACATTCATAATAGATAAAAAATATTCGTCATGGTAAGTTAAAGCTTTCAGAGCGCATTTATGCTTGTATAATAGGTAAATGTAAGTTTATTTTACAATAAGGGTCATTTAAGGGAAATGATCTTTTTTAAAGACACAACATACAGGGTGAGATAAAAACTGCAACAAAGCCAAACGCCATAATTTTTACATTTTATTGAATAAAAGCAAAAAATGTCGGAAATTGCATCAAATTGCCTTCAAACGGCTAGGAACCTCATTTTGTAACCATTCTTGGGTGTCGCGTGGTGAGTCCTGTTGGAATGTCCAAGGTCTGCTGCCAAAATGTTCGCGTGCCCAGGTCTTTAATACACCCTCCACAATATTTTCCAGATAATATTCGCCATTTAATCTGATGCCACGGTCGATTAATACGAGCGGAGAGCGATCATCGGCTGTTATGGCGGCCCACACCATCACCATGGTCGGCGCTTGAGTTCTGGTGGTCAACCGAAGGTGCCCATTTTAAGATGACCTCTTTGGCAAGTAAACACGATCATTTTGTTTGTTTACAAACTTCTGGACAACGAATGTTTTCTCATCGGAGAATACCAAATTCAGCAGTTCTCCACTTTCGGCCATGCGAAGCAACTCTTTAGCTCTTTTGAGTCTATTTCCTTTCCGTTTCGGTGTAAGTTCTTGCACTTTTTGGAATTTCAATGACTTTACCCTGAGCTCATTTTTCAATATTTGCCGAATGGAATATTGCGATATGTTTAGCTTACAAGCCATTTTTTGGCCACTGCCACGCGGGTTTAAATCAAGTCGCTTCTTTACTTTTCGAACCGTTTCTGCTGATGTTGCTGTTTTCTTTTGTCCACTTCCGTGACGTCGGGCTACGCTACCAGTATCACGGTAACGAGCAGCGTTCGAAAATAAACAGTATGGTACTGTACCGTAGTGTTGTGTACCTTTCCTTAAAAAATATTTTAGTGATACTGTAGCGGAGCACAACGAGAATCGTACTGTACCGCAGTCGGAGCACTAAAAAACGTAATGTACCGCAGTCGAAGCATTACAAACATTAAAAAATTAAGTATCGGTAGTGTACCACATATGTGTTGTTTAAGATGTTTGAGAAAAATTATATGTTTGATGTTTTTGATAAAGCAAAAATTACTAATACAATTCAATATTATGAAAATTAAAGCTGAATTTATTTTATTTGTCATGTATGTTTAGATTGGTTGCGAAATTTAAGAAAGTAGAAAAAATGGGAATAGGTAAAAATAATAAGAAAGGACCAAATCTGAAGTGATAATAATTTGTATTTAACCATTGAAAATTTATTTTTTTAATTTTCCGCGAAAAAGGCTATTTTAGTGTTGCGTTGCAATATTGTTGTAAATAATTTACCTGTCAGTTTTATGATTTCGATTTTTTTAATGTGGTACATGTGGTACTACGATTTTTTTAGTGCTCCGACTCCGGTACATTACGATTTTTTAGTGTTCCGGCTGCGGTACATGACGATTTTTTAGCGCTCCGACTGCGGTACACTACGATCATCGTTGTGTTCCGGTACAACATATTTTTAGTCGTAGTGTACCGGTACACTGCCGCTAATTTTTTTTTTGTGATACTGTACTGGTACAGTACACTATGTTTGTATACTGTTTATTTTCGAACGCTGGTAACGAGCGATGGTAAGAGACACAAAAGATTTATTCACATTTAAATGCTGCAGTGCTCTAACGATAGTCACTTGTGATTTTCAAGCCAAATATATGCTTTTATACACTTGTAAACAATATAACGAGTTGTCACTGGAATAATTTTAACAGCTGTGGGACGAGTGGCTTAGAAGTGACAGCAGTCTAAAGTTGGTTGCAGTTTTTTCATCTCACCCTGTATTTTAACAATTTCACACTTAATTAAGCTTCAAGCTTACCAAAAGTTCTAAAATTGCACAAAACTTCTTAAAATGGTACATTTGGTATTGAACGAATAGAGCTAAAAACTTAAAATTTGGTATGAAAATCAAAGTTGGAAAGTAAGTTTGGTATGTAAAGGTGTTTTGGCAAATGTTTACTAAGTGTGCGAACTGTACTAAATGCTTATAAATTTGGAACAGTTTAGTTTGGGTCAACAGATGAAGCTGGAATTTGGTCCCTGTTGTTGGTAGCTTTGTGATATAGAGATGGTTTGGAAATGCGTACTACAAGTGCATAAAAACTACTAAATAGTACTATATCTGATACAATTTAGTATTGGGAACAGATATAGCTGAAATTTGGTATTAGGGTCACTGTTTATACGTATGTGGTTTCGGAAATGTTTACTATAATTCTACGAAAAGTACTAAATGGTACTATATTTGGTATTGAGTGAAGGGATAGAGATATAATTCTGAAGTTTAGATTACTTATGGTATCTGTGTTTGAGACTTGGTGGTGCTTTGGAAATGCGAACTAAATTGTTCTAAAATTGGTATTGGGGAAGGGATAGGACGGGTCCCTAGGATTTATTTATGGTGGTGGCCAATTTTTATACCCTCCACCATACATAGTATGGAGGGTATAATAAGTTCGTCATTCCGTTTGTAACTCATCGAAGTAATTATTTTAGACCTAACAAAGTATATATATTCTTGATCTGCGTAAAATACTAGCTCTATCCGTCCGTGTTTTAAACAGAGTCAAAACGAATTAAGATAGGAAGCTAAAATTTTGCACAGATCAGTCTTTTGTCAAGTTCGAAGATGGGCTATATCGGTTCACTATGTCGAATGGTCCGCATATAGGGTACCCCCAGATATCCGGTATTTTGATGATTTTATGCACATTTTTCAATGGAATTTTCTGAAAATCCACACAAGGAGTTCCTCTGAGAATTTTGCCCCCTAGAAGAGAATTGTATGTATATAAGTCCACGATATCGTATATCCCCCATATTACGGTACCTTCCGATATTCGGTATTTTGATGATTCTAGCCGAATTTTCAATGGAATTGTCTCAGAATCCACACAAGAAATTCCTTCTGAGTAGTCTACCCCCTGGAAATTAAACGCCAAAACGCTTGCTTGAGTTGATCGACACTTTGGCATTTTTTAGTGCCAACCTTGCTTTCCAAAATACTCCAGACACAATAATCCAACGGATTGGTATCCGGAGATTTTGGTTGCAATTGTGCACGGTAAATGAAGCGGGGAACCTCATTTTATAACCATTCTTGGGTGGTGCGTGCTGAGTGCGATGGTGCTGAGTCCTGTTGGAATGTCCAAGGTCTGCGACCAAAATGTTTGTGTGCCCAAGGCTTTTATGCACCCTCAGGAATATTTTTGCGATAATATTCGGCATTTATTCTGATGCCATGGTCGATTAATACGAGCGGAGAGCGACCATCAACAGTTATGGCGGCCCACACCCTCACCATGTCCGGCACTTGAGTTCTGGTGGCCAACAGAAGGTGCACACATTCAGCTGACCTCTTTTGAAAGTAAACACGATCATTTTGTTTGCTTACAAACTGCTGGACAACGAATGTTTTCTCATTGGAGAAAACCAAAAACTAAAATCAGTTCACGACTTTCGACCAAGCAAAGCAACTATTTGGTTCTTTTGAGTCTACTTTATTTCTATTGCGGTGTAAGTTCTTGCACTTTTTGGAATTTCAATGGCTTTACCCCGAGCTCATTTTTCAATATTTGCCGAATTCGGCCACTGCGATGTGGGTTTCGAACAAGTCGCTTCTTTACTTTTCGAACCATTTCTGCTTATGTTGCTGTTTTCTTTCGTCCACTTCCTCGGTGGTGTTTTCCAGCCAAATATAAAGCAATCACAATATCACGCTTGCATTCCATCACGAATAACTTTTTTCTGGAAAATTCTGATCAAAATGCTTTTGTACGCTTGTAGACAATATAATGAGCTGTCACTGGAATAATTTTAACAGCTGTCGGACGAGTGGTTTAGAAATGACTGCAGTCTAAAGTTGGTTGGAGTTTTTTCATCTCACCCTGTATTTATTGTTTTGAACAATAAAAACAAAATATTTTCAAAACCAATGATTGAAAGACGCGTAGATTGCGGCTCGCGCATTAAAGCTGTTATGAAACCACTTGTTCCATATAATTTTAAACGAGTCTGACAGGAAGCGGACATAGCTTCAGGGCTGTACCTCTGTTCTACCTTCTAATTGTACCATGGTTTCTCCATACTCTCAAATCTAGAAAAATTTCAATGATATCGACTTTTAAAGCACCCGAAATATCAATGCCGTCTTGTGTTCTATATTATTTGTTATCGTGAAAGTCTAAAAAAAAATGCATATATATGTATTCATATTTTACTACGGGAGGCGGTATATGAAGTAATTATTAAAAATATAATTGCTAGTTATTGTAGATTTTATATTATGATAATAAAATTCTATTATAATTAGTTATACACTTAGTTTTAACATAAATTTTAACTACATTTTTAAAATTTTTGAATCAGAAATTTGAAGGACGGTACTTGCTTTTATTATAGTATGTAAATTAGTAAATTTACATTAGATAGAATACAAAAAATGGATAATTATTTTACTTCCTAACTCTTGGTTTTTTGTAAATTAAAATTAATGTATCTGTAAGTACGACAATGCCTTTGTTTACATTTTAATTAGGGGGCAATAGAGGGTCGCTGTTGGTATGTTTGATTTATTAATAGACAAAAAACACTTTTAACGCACCAATGGCTGTCACCTGATATTCCTTCTTTTTTAAGTGAATGGGTGTTCCAAACTCTTAGCTTTTCTCTGGCACCCAAAATAAATATTTTATGAGAAAGGGCAATTTATTTGACGTGTAATCAAAAAAAAAATGCCAATCCAATTACGCTATTTGAAATATGTGGTATATATATATATAAAGCCTTAGACCGATATGTACATTTGCGGCATTCAAAATTTAATATTTAAACATGCTGCCAAATATAGAGTCAAAGAATTTTCAAATAAGATGGATATTGATATCAATATGATATAATTAAACGTGTAGCGATACAATTTTTATTCTCTTCTTGTAGATGATTTCAATCCTGCAGGGAATAGGCCTTGGATACGTTCCATGAAATTCAATGTATGCGTTTCAATTTTAATACAGACTCCATATAGCAGATATTATGAAGATTCCCTAAAAATTTGTTTAAAACAAATCTCATTCAGGGACTACAGAACAACAAAAAAAACACCGATATTCTTTAATGGAAGGCAAAAAGGGTAAATAAGCTTTTTTTAAATAAAAGGGTAAATAATATTTTTATTCCAAAAAAATCGGAGCGTTTTTTATCATCTGTTAGGTCGACTTTAAGTTAAATTGACAGATTTGACGTGGCTAGTTATTACTCCTATTTAGTGTTTGGCCAATAAAGAGTTTAACTATTGTTAAAAAAATTAATAAAAAAAATGAAAGCTCTTGTGTTTATTCAATAATACAGGTGTAAATAACTAAAGAAAAGGCAAGAAATAATTCTGTCCAATAAGAAAAGCAGCTATTTTTTTATTTAAAAAATAAGTTACTTTATCTAAACACAGTAAGAAAGAAATAATAACCTTGGCCTAGTGCCAGATGTCATCAATACTTTGTTTTCTATATTTAGTTAAAGGCCAATTTAATTAATCCTTTTATTTTTTCTTTGAAAGGTGTGCATTGTTTACTTTCCAGAATAGGTCAGATGTAAGACTTTATTAGATATTTTTAACGTGACTTTGTGTTGTTATTGTGGCACATACACATTTTATGACTGGACACCGTGACTTACCTACCACCTATAGTTGTACAGGTTGGTGTTTAAACTCGCTTTATTACATAAAAATGTGTGCGCCGAAATATGTGCGTAAAATACGCTAAATCTACTATTGAATTGGAACACTTTGTAATTATTTAGAAAAAAAATTGATTCACACTTGTGACATTAAAAACAAAATAGCACTTTGAGAACGAACTGTAAAACCTGGCTCCGTGTATTACTTTGACAAATGCAAATAGGGACCTCTAAATCGAAAATTCAAATTCGATTCAAAATAATCGATTACGGCATGATCCAAGTATAAGGTCCCCCTTCCAGCTCAGCTGATTACCAGACGATCTGTCAATTAAATTTGAATTCGCTACAACAAAAACAAACTTCAAAACGATGGTAGAAGAATACAGGTAGTCGCATTGCGTAGCTGCTGGGGCAATGAACTGTCAAACCAATTTTTAAGTTAAAAATTTAAAATGAAAAATTATTCAAAAAATTATTGCAATGCTTGGGAACATTAATATGTCAAAATTGTTAGAATGTTTTGTCAAAAATAAGTAGATTTTTATACGTTTTCTAATACGAGGTTGTTATGATATGCAATTTTTACAAATATCAATAATTTTTCGTTTAACATTTTTAATTTCAAATTCGGTTTGACGGTTCATTGTCCCAGCAGTTGCGTCGATGCCTCTACCTGTATTTTTGTACCATGTGTTATACATACAAAAAATAGCAACAAACATATTCGCCACAAAATTCTTCTGTCAAGGCGAAAATATTTATTTTCGCCTCAAGCATGAATTTTGACATTTCATCTGGTAAAATAACAGCTGTTTTGAGATTAATTCGCTCGAAGGAAGACCTTATAATTAGGCCATGGATTACGGTCAGTGGTACAATAGTACAGGTAGCCGCACTAACATAGCAGGTGTTATGTTCTCATTGCACTTTCAATCATGTTGTTCGCTCTCAGAATTAGGTACACGAATTAACCCGTTCTTACGACGCGATTCGTAATTCACAGTAAAATAATTCCTTTTTTTTCAAAAATTTTGTTTGTTTAATGGGAATTTATACGAAAATACATGAAATTCTCACTAATATGAATAGAAGAAATGATTAATTTTCTCCTATAGATTTACTATATCATTAATTTTACAATTTTCATTTATGTGTTTAACTTTTTGTGTAAATGTTGTCATTTTGAAGATATTTTTGTACTTTCCTATTTTTAAATTCTGCTGGAGAGACACTTGTCAAACATTTTTTCTGACGACACTAACATTTGAAAATATTGCCTCTTTTGTTTCCAGTTTTCTGTGGAAATTTCAACTCGTGGACAAAATGCGTACCTCGAATGAGAGAGAAAACAAAATTTACTTTCGTTTAAATTCACATACGCAATTCAGCATTGTAGTTATCATTCAAATGTTTCAGTCTTCACAAAATTTTTTTAAAATTTCATTATATTTTTAAATGTATATTTTTTTTTTTTTTTTTTGATAAATGATCTAATTTAACAATGGTGGCAGACATTTCATCCTAGTTCTGAGAGTGATTTGAATGGAACAAAGAACAAAAATCTTTGTTCGCTCAGTAAATTTAGTGTGGGGAATTAAGTAGTATTTCTTAATCAATGGTCGAACAAGGAATAAAGAGCGAATCACGTGCCATGTGAACTTAGCATTAGGCGTTAACAGTTATGAATGAAAAATTTCTCGAATTTGTTTAAGATGTTTTCAAAAAACAATTGAAGCGTTTTATATATGAAAATGTTTAAAATCACTACATAAAATATGTTTTAGTCTACTAGTTATTTGATATAAAGGTAAAGTCGGTATGCAGATGTGAAAATAGAAGCCAGAGCCTCAATTCTTGTTCTATGAAAATGATAATCGAAAACTTTTATAAAGGAAATATTTTCTATTTCATTTTTAGCATTTAGCAGACCTAGTTGATTTAAATTGCCAATTATATTGCACTTCACGTCATTGAAATTCTCATAAGGGAGGTTTACCCGGCATTCTGCATAAATTAAAATAAAGAGCTAGTGTACAAAAAAAGGCTCAATAAGAAAGATTGCTCAACTTAAAAGAAACTAGAAAAAAACAACTCTTTTCTGAAGTCTTATAGTGTCAAATAGACTTTTTAATATTCAACAGTTGGCTTTGTTTTTTTTTTTTTTTTTTAATTTTTTTTTAACAAAACTCTTATATTGGGAAAAACCCGCGAAACAAGAATGGAATTTCGGGGTTATTCCACAAGATTGAATCTAAAATAGTAGAGCAATTCAGTTTAACACAAAATTGTACAATTTGTGTATATGTTTTGACAGAACAAGGGCACCAAAAGAAAAAAATGTATTTAGGGGGTAGCTTTGTTCTACCTTCTGTAATTTTGAAATACTATAAATTTTGCACCTTTTACCCAAAAACCTTTCCCGTGCACCAAAAAGTTGCAACAACACTTTTAATAAATTTTGTTTTTTATGGACTAGATCTCCTTATTATTTTTGATAATTTTAAGGGTTGCCACATGCCAAATACCGATTTTGATTTCACTTTTCCACATCGATTTGCGTTGTATAAAAAAATCGGTAAGGCGATTGCAACGTAATAACTGGCTAATTCGGCTATCAGTCATAATTTACAGAAACAGAAGGAGCACGTATTACAGTTATACTCGTAGAATTTGTGGTCAATTTACATATTAGTCAGAAATACTGTAAAATATTCCTGGTAATCTTTAAATTAATACGATTACCTACCGAAGTTTTTAAGCAAGTTTTTCCTTTGTTCTTCCCTGTTGTAGACGTAGTTCTCGTTAAAGCAAGAAAACCAAAGAGTTGGAGAAAAAAAAGCTAAATTCCTACAAACAGTGAAAAAACTTATAAACTGCATTCAAAAGAAATGAAATCATCGATTTTCGTTGCCTTCCTCCTGCTGGGACTTTTCGTAGCACCATTCAATTGTGAAGGTATGTACTGAGCCGAGCTGGAATTTCGGACATCAATTTATTGGTAATATTTATATTTTAATTATTGCTTATCGAAAACTATTGTATTGAAACTTTTTCAAGTTTTGGAGGGGGTGGGAAGAGGGCCACACATAAAAATATTCATATGAAATACAAGTAGCGTTGCATTTTAATCTAATAAGTATAAGATAGTATGGAAGGGATTTGCAAGTGCAACAATACGGACATACAAAAAATGGGCCGTATGAGTCGTTTTTGAAAGGCATATACTATAAACAATTATAATCAAAATCAAATTGCGACTATGGGATTTGTCAGAAACATATGCAATACAGTCTCAAATCACCTTTATTCTCTTTGTTTTGGTATATTAATATATAGATGTGTGTATTTAATTAATACCTTATTTACTTTGAACATTGATTACACTGCTTATTATATGCATGGTGCATTCTATATTCTGGAATAGTCTGCGTGAACGAAAGTATTTGTTTTGATGCTAATAAATAATACGATAATTGTAGGAGATAAACACATTATCGTAAACAAGTTCTCTGCAAGTTTTTGGTCCGCATTTTTGTTGCAACATATAAAATCGATGGTCAATGAAGCTTATCATTGGTGATTGACATGGGTTTGTTGATACTGATTATAAAAAGGATACTCCGTACACCGTATGACTGAACACATTATCTAATATATTTAAAAAATCCAGATTAGGTATATAAAAACTATGACTAGATACCAACCAACAACAAAAATAATTTAAAGTTCTTCTATGTACAGCAGTGACTCAAAAATTTTTAAGAAGTCCACATTGTTATAAAAAAGGCTTTCTTTCAAAATGTAACATTATTCATATCACTAAATTCTATATATTTGCAATAAAAACTTTTTCAACTTATTTTCTAAATAAACTTATTAATAACACATTAAGTAGGTGTCTATAATAATTTTAGCATCATTGGCCATGTTGTAAAATTGAATATTGATTTTGTGAACATGTCATGGTAGTAAATCATTTCTTCTTGTACGGATAACAATAGTCCACCTTCCAATGGCCTTGGAGGCTTTAGTATTATGGTATGAAATGAATAAATAAATAAATCAATAAATTCCCGAAGCAAAAGGTAATGTGATCGTTATAAAAATAAGAACTTCATCCTAGCCGTACCATACTCTTTGAAACGGTTTACTGGGTTCACTTAGCGCCAAGAATTCAAGTCAAGAATTCATTAATTCTGTAAGAATATACCAAATGTATTGAAAATACTCAATAATGCACAAGCAAGTTTTAGCTAGTTTAGTTTGATGTTTCTTTATAAGCTAATAATGTAATTGCTTTTAAAAGTTGATGATGATTTTACAGTTTTTGGTGTGTCTAGGGGTATCTTGACTACCTTTTCCGGTGATGAATAAAGTTGAACAATTTCAACATTGACAGAATTTATTGTTGTTTTTTGTATGTTGAAAAGGAATTATAGAACAATTAAAAAATTGCCTTGAAGATATGAACCTTGAGTATTTGGGCAATACGTCCGTTCGAAAAATTTTACCATAGTGGTCGGTGTTTTTGTACTGAACGTGGGGTTGCGTGGGTTACGTTATGCACATCATTTTGTGTAGAGCTCTGAAATTTGACGAATAGTTTGACTTGTGTCTACAGGATGAGATAAAAAAACCACAACAATGTCAAACGCCACAATTTTTACTTTTTTTAAATTTTATTGAATGAAAGCAAAAAATGTCGGAAATACCATCAAATTTTACAATAAGTTTAAAGTTAAAACGAGCGGAGAGCGACCATCGGCTGTTATGACGGCCCACACCATCACCATGGCCAGCTCTTGAGTTCTGGTGGCCAAACGCAGGTGCACATTTTCAGGCGACCTCTTTGGCAAGTAAACATGATAATTTTGTTTGTTTACAAACTGCTGGACAACGAATGTTTTCTCATCGGAGAAACCCACCTCACCTCTTTCGGCCAAGCGCTCTTTTGAGTCTATTTTCTTTCTGTTGCAGTGTAAGTTCTTGCACTTTTTGGAATTTCAATGGATTTAACTATTTAATATTGCAATATGTTCAGATTACGAACCATTTTTCCATTTTTCATTTGCATGTTGCTGTTTTCTTCCGTCCACTTCTTTGACGCCGGGCTACGCTATCAGTATCACCGTAACGAGCAAGTGGCTAACGATAACCACTTGTGGTTATCCAGCCAAATATAAAGAAATCACACTATCATGCTTGAATTCCATAACGAATAACTTTGTTTCTGGAAAATTCTTACCAAAATGCTTTTGTACGCTCGTAAACAATATAAAGAGCTGTCACTGGAATAATTTTAACAGCTGTCGGACGAGTCGCTTAGAAATAACTGCAGTCTGAAGTTGGTTGCAGTTTTTTCATCTCACCGTGTAGGTTATTTGGTAATGAGAAGAGGGCTTTATAAGTCCACCTCCAGGTATATCTGCCCTATAATAGTAACTCTCGTTTTTTTGGATATATTTTGAAGAACTTATTTTGGTAACATTCATATCAATACATGTGCTTAACTTGAAATGCGAAAAACATCGACCATACCATGGTACAATGATATCAAGGTAGGGCTATGATACCATATGATTTTTATTTTTTTTATTTTCTTGGCTTAATATGTCATCTTTATTTGTTTTGTGTATGTGTTTTCTTTTCAATAACAAAAAAATTGTTCAGAAAACATTCAAATTCGGGTGTTTTCAAAATGTTTATTTCAACGTATGCATCAACAAAAGCTAGAGTTTTTGTAGCGAAATAATCCTTTAGAGATATATAGTACATGATTTTGAAAAGAAGTGTTGACCTTTCATTCAGTTATCGAGGTTTTCAATTATTTATTCAAAATAAATGCAACAAGTTGTTTGATTTTTTATTGTTTTGGTACTAATTCTGACATTACAAGCCAAATTTGCAATTTTTTCAAAGTTGGCCTACCTTCTTTTCATTGTACCATGGACCGTACGTCGAATTTCAAGCAACGCTGTGAATTATTAACATTTTAATATAATTTAATAATAATATAGCAAAACATAATATATATAATGGAAAAAATGTTCAAATTTTATTAATTTTAGATGCTACTAAAGCAGATAACAAAACCGTGGTGGGAACTGAAAAAGCGAATGTGCCTGAAACAACGGCTGTGCCAATAACAGTTCCAGATGATACAACAACTACTACGACAGACAAGCCTACAACCACAACAGACAAGCCTACAACCTCAACAGACAAGCCTACGACTACAACGTCTACGGAACAGCCAACTACAACAACTGAAAAACCGACACCAACCACAGAAAAAACGACGACAACTTCAACAACTCCAGCTTCGAATGATACTACAACAACTACGACATCTTCGACAACCACGACTTCCACAACAGTTGCTCCCGATACAACAACAACAGTTTCACCCAATAGCACAACCACCACCACCACTACCACTCCATCACCATCTCCATCTCCATCTCCAAACCCAACACCTTTGCCACCTTGTCGTCGTTTTGATGGTCCCTCATTCATTGGTGGCATTGTCTTAACTTTAGGATTATTGGCTATCGGCTTGGTAGCTTACAAATTTTATAAGGCTCGTAATGAACGAAACTACCACACTCTTTGAGCCGCCACAGCTTTCACGTCTGCTTTTAACGCGACCGCAAATGGTGCATCTGCAAGTGCTGCTTCTAACACAGATGCTGAACGTGTACGTTTTATGCCGGCAATTCCTTTGCGCGCTCCACCCTCACCCCCTCCTCCACCACCAACGTCGCAGCAGACAAACAATCAACAGTCCTCCCCCACAGCTCATCAAAGGCTCCTTTATACATAAATACAAAAGTAATCATGAATTTTTGCAAACTATTTCTCCAGATCGAATTTTTTGGAGTTTCCAAATTTTATTTGAAAGAATATAATAAATATATACATATATAAAAGAAATATCTAAGAAGATAAATGAATTCATAATGCCTTTCAAACATTTTATTTTTATCGAATATATACATACATAACTGATATACAAAAGAAAAATGCACTGAAATGTGAAAACTAAAATATTAACCGATAAAATTTTTTATGTAAGTACACAATACGTTTAACAGATGGTAACGGAGATACACATTGAAAAACGTTTATCGTATGAAAAGATACAATTTTGAGACTGTATAAAACAAAACAAAAATGGAAAATGTATGATTTAAAGGAGATGAATAAAATGCAAACTAAATGCTTATCCTCACGTTTTTCTCCTAGTATATATTAAGTGAAGTGTAATAAGACTTTTTTTTTGAGAATAAAATTAAATTTTCATGCAACATTACACGTCCTGAATCATTATTCATATATAAAAATCAAAAGTCGGCTAACATTGTGTGCAGACATTTAACATATCCACAAGGTTTATTTTTGTTTTAGCATTTGTCTTATTTCAAAAAAAAAAATAAATAAATAAATAAAAAAACAAAACAAAAAAATAAAGTTTCACAAGAAAAGTATGCATACACTTAACCACAAATCATGAAATGTTGCAATTTTTCGCAAAAAAAAAAAAACTTAAAAAATCATTCCACTGTTATGTGTACAGTAAGATACATTAGTAAAAACCTCAGGTTTTTATTGGATATTTAATGCCTGATTCCCTATCGATATGACTTAATACAAGTGGCTCTTTGGCTAAATTAATAACTGTACCAACATTTTTGCTGGCAAAGCCTAAAAAATCAGTATATCATAGCATGCTGTATCTTACTGTATCTCTTTGCAAGACATAAGTGTATGTTGGATTGTATATGCAATGAAATATGTCGGTTATTGTGGATTGTTTATTTGCTTAAAGATAATAACGAACTCTTCTTGTATTTCCATATCACCAAGAATATTTGTTCACTATTGTTGTTGTGCAGAAAGTGCTCGATAAAAACTTGTTCTTGCTTTCTTATGTATCCAAAATACGCATATTTATACAATATATTCATGCTCACACAAGAATATCGCAAAAAAATTATTTTCCATTGTTCCGCCGTTAATATGTTTGTCGTCCTACTTAATATAGCAGAGATAAAATAAAATGCCCCTTTTCTTTATATCTAAAAGAAATATTTCTATTAAAATTATCAGGAATGTCTCCATTACTTCACATACCCTACACTAAATTTTTTGCCATTTAAATATTTTTGAAGTTAAAAGCGTTGTATTTTTCGTATGTATAAATAAATTATAGATAATATACAAAATTGAACCTTGTTTAATGAATGAATAGGATACATATTTTGTTTCAAAGTGTACATATATATTTTATATAATGACATATATAAATATATAAATATATACATGTACACTTTGAAATGTTTTGAAATCTTGAATAGGAGGCTAAAAGGTTTGTAAATGAGTCATATTTGCTGAGTTTTCTATGACTCCCATATAACAGCACCGTTCGATTATTAAATGAAATTGTCTGAAGTTGGGTATTTGTAGTTATGACACCCATTAGCCATGATACAATTATTAGAGGGTGGATGCAAAATGAGTGTTGCTTCGCAACGCAACCATTTTTATAAACATAATTTACAAATTAGTCCATTCTACGATAAGGAGGTAAATCAGGTTTGTTAAACTACCGAAATACAACACTGAGGGTATGCCCGTTTCCTGTCAGAGTTACTCATAATTAGATGCAACAAGTTGTTCTGATCTATTTTATATTTCATACGCTCGACGTAACATGTATGGTGAAAAACGTCGAATTAAGCTGGTAGAGAAATACTGAAAACATGCAAAAAAAGGGATATTCGCACTCTACTCTTACAAGAACTCTATAGGGGTCTTAAACCGCATACAGGGTGAGATGAAAAAACTGCAACCAGATTCGGACTGCTGTCATTTCTAAGCCACTCGTCCGACAGCTGTTAAAATTATTTCAGTAACAGCTCATTATATTGTTTACAAGCGTACAAAAGCATTTTGGTGAGAATTTTCCAAAAAAAGTTATTCGTGATGGATTTTGAACGTGATAATGTGATTTCTTTATATTTGGCTTGAAAACCACAAGTGACTATCGTTAGAGCACTCCAGCATTTAAATGTGAATAAATCTTTTGTGTCTCGTACCAAGGATGAAAATAGCAACATCAGTAGAAATGGTTCGAAAAGTAAAGAATCGACTTGATCGAAACCCGCCTCGCAGTGGTCGAAATTCGGCAAATATTGAAAAATGAGCTCGGGGTAAAGCCATTGAAATTCCAAAAAGAAAGAAAATGGACTCAAAGGAGCTAAATAGTTGCTTCGCTTGGCCGAAAGTGGTGAACTGTCGAATTTGGTTTTCTCCGATGAGAAAACGTATGTTGTCCAGCAGTTTGCAAACAAACAAAATGATCGTGTTTACTTGCCAAAGAGGTCAGCTGAAAATGTGCACCTTCAGTTGGACAGCCGATGGTCGCTCTCCGCTCATATTAATCGACCGTGGCATCAGAATAAATGCCAAATATTATCGCGAAAGTATATTATATTCTGGGGGTGTATGAAAGCCTTGGGCACGCAAACACGCACCGACCAAGAATGGTTACAAAATGAGATTCCTCGCTTCATTTCCAGTGGCCACCAAAATCTCAAATCCGTTGGACTATTATGTTTGAAGTATTTTGGAAAGCAAAGTTGGCACTAAAAAGTGCCAAAGTGTCGATCACCTCAAGCAAGTGCTTCGCCGGGAATGGCGCAGGGCAACATTCGGGCAGCGTGTGACGGTTTCATTGGCCGTTTGAAGGCCATAATTCGTGCCAAAGGCGATCAATTCGAGAAAATCTAAACTTATTCTAAACGTTTATGATATTTCCGACATTTTTAGCTTTCATTCAATAAAATTTAAAAAAAAAATGTAAAAATTATGGCGTTTGACTTTGTTGTAGTTTTTTTTTTATCTTACTCTGTATAACCAAGTGGAGTCGATTGTTCGTCCTATATGAGTCTTTAGGTAAGTCATCCCTCAGACAAGAAATTGATCAAGTTCAATCGTTACTGATCACAGGTGCATTCAGGAGAAGGCCGCTCAGATACCCTACTTTGCTTAAAGTGCCCTGGAGACGTTCAATTTTTTTCGTCAAGCAGCTTATATGTGTGTGTCCATGTGAGTCTAATCGGCTTTCGTCGGCTACACACATTTGTTGTCGGCTCTGCTTGATGGAAAATCAAAATATTTTGATATTTTTATTTGCGCAAATCTATTTGAACGTCTCCATTAGTATTTGTCAAACAAAATGCCATTTGTGTTTTAATGTTGAAGAGTAATCATGAATAGTAAGTGCGCGGACGAAAAAAAATTACAATAAAATTTATTGAAATGTACCAATGCTTTGATGCATTGTGAAATGTGCGGACAGATGCGTACAGTAATAGGGATGAGAAGAAAAAACAATATAATATACTCCTTGATTTTTTTAAGGAACAGTACCCCGATGGTACTGTTGAAGATGTTAAAAAAATAAATATCCTCAAAAAATTTCTGTAGTCATCAACACTACTCATTCGCAGCTCCTTCAAAAGGTTTTCATGTGTAAATCTTTTGCGCTGCTCATACCACTTTTTCATCCATATTTTCTTTTTCATTCCAATTTTTTTTTAACACAACTGCTGTCACAAAAGTCACTCATCTTCCGATGACGACATGACTGCACTCAACGAAAATAATTACAAAATGAATGTTTGACAAACTTGTTTGTACGTTTGCGGGCAAAACACGAAGTTACACACTGACACATATGCACTTGTTTGAAAAAAAAAAAACAAAATTTGAACGTCTCCAGGACACTTAAGTCATTATGTCCTCACGTAGAGGAACTGAGAGTCAGGTGTGCCCATTGACTCAGAGAACTTTAACAATAGAGCAAACAATCCTTTGGACACTCTACGATCTACGAAGAAGAAATTTAGACAGTTGACCATTTGCTCTGCCACTGTCCAGCACTTATCAATGTGTGGGAGAGCAAATAGCACCCAATCTGTCTTTATACTCTAACACAGAGACTGCAGTAATTCTTCAATTAGCCAGAATATTTAAGTGGCTAAAGACGACACGATGAACTTTTAGTCCTAGATTTCATAATTTATCCAATCTCTTTATTTTCAAATTTAGGATGAACACAATTGACCAACAGATCTCCGAGTGGAGAGATTACATTAAGTCAACCGCTCGTCCATTAATCTAACCTAACCTGAATACTATCCCATATATTGAAAGTATTATGCTATATATTGAGTAATATCCTATATATTGAAATACAATGTTTAAAACCGGCTCAAACGAAAAGTCTCGAAGAACACATTTAGTACAATCGGTGTAACGATATTTCGCTATTCTTAAAAAATCCTAATTAAACGAAAGATCCCGGAGAGTACTTTAGGACATTATTATATTCATTCAGTAGTATATCCAGTGCCAGTCAACAGAAAAAAACGAAAAAGAAAATCGGCAAAAAATGCAATACAAATATATTTTTGTGCTTCCTGAAAAGGTTTTGTATGTGTCCTAAAACTGCGATGTGCCCATGCAGTAGAATCATTACCTGTAAAAGACCTACCAAAAAATAAACAATACAAGCAAAAAAGGCCACAATTTTTTTGTGATTATATGTACTAGGATTTATTTTTCTTTTGCCCCTTACTAGAAATGTTAACTTTCTTTCTGTTCTCTAGTTTTTTCTCTGAATTATTTTCATTTTTGGATTTTTTCTTTGCCGGTTCATCCTCTTCGCGTGGTACATCTGAACTCTTTTCGTTCGCAACCATTTTGGATCCACGCTTTTTGGCCTTCTTCTTAATTGTTTGGTTGTCAAACTTTACAACCAATTGATTGCCATCCATAGATAATTTTTGTTTAACAGCGTTTCGAGCTTCCATTGTTGAATGCAGTGTTACGGAAGCGATAGTCTTATCCTTATTTTGTTTACCTTTTCCCGCTTTCATTTGAATGTCGACAGCATTTGGAAATAGTTCACGTATCTGCACTAAGGTTGCAGATTTTGGGAGATTAAAAATAACAACGGTCGGTGTGAATATCTTTTTGAACTGTGCTTTCTTACTCGCCTTCTTTAGACGGTTTTTACTTTTTTTATTTTCCACAGATTTTATTTTACGTTCAACCATCTGCTCTATGTACTCGTCATTTTCTGTTCGTGGTATATTTACTTTACACTTTGGCAAATCTCCATTTTTAATAGACTGTCTGAGTTCATTCCACGCAGTATCACGATCGTCTTTGCTATTGAACTCTACCAGACAAAACCGAACGTGTTTTTGCCGCGGCTTGTGCACCTTTGTGATTAAGGGGGACAACTTTTTTGCCATTTCTTCCAGCTCTTCTTCGGATTCGGGAAGTTTTTGTGGGAAAAGGATAAACAGTTGTTTTCCCTGTAGTGCTTTATATTTTTCGCGAAGATTTTCTCTTATTAAATCCGTTTTTGATACTGGCGATTCATCATCCCCGGAAACATCTTCGTCTGACTCGGTGTCGCTGGCATCCAGCTCATTTTCGTTTAGCTCCTCATCTTCCTCCGAAGATTCACCCATTTCTTCTTCGGTGTCCTCGAATTCATCATTTGTATCACTGCTTCCCTCCAATAATGGCTCTTCTTTTTTGGTTGTTTTCTGCTTCATTTTATATTTATTTTTGTAGTAATGCTCAAAACAAAGTGCACGTGTGAGCTTGAGCAGGGGGCCACATATGTATTTCGATTAATCGACTTTTGGTGTCAACAAATCGAGAAGACATCATCGATTTTTATCAATTAACATTTGCTATGCCGCATGGTAGAAGAATATAGGTAGACGCATCGACGCAGCTGCTGGGACAATGAACTGTCAAACCAATTTTGGAATTAAAAATGTTGAATGAAAAATTTTTTAAATTTGTAAAAATTGTTGAAAAATGCATATCTTTACAACCCACGATTTGTGCCGTATAAGAAAACATATAAAGCGTTGATGCATCTACCTGTATTTTTCTACCATGCTATGCCGCAATAAAAATTGGTGTACCTGCAATCAAACGAAATTTGTTTGTGTTGTATCTACTGATTGTTTACCTCTCGTACTGTGGTTCCAACCATTTTTATTTTTGGATTTTTTGGGACATATGTGTAAATTGTGAATTTGATTTTTTCTTTTGTTCGATAGTGTGCTGATGGCTAGGCCACAGCAATTTATATAATTTAAGTAGTATAAGCGAATAGCTATAATTATTTTTAAGTTTTTAGAACAGTAAGTCACGACTGTTAGCATGTAGAATGAACTCCAAATAAATGTGACCTTTGTCAAAAATGAAAAAATGAAATAATGATATCAAGGTAGGGCTATGATTTTAATTTTTTATTTTCTTGGCTTAATATGTCATCTTTATTTGTTTATGTATGTGTTTTCTTTTCAATAACAAAAAAATAGTTTAGAAAACATTCAAGTTCGGGTGTTTTCAAAATGTTTATTTCAACGTATGCATCAACAAAATCTAGAGTTTTTGTAGCGAAATAATCCTTCAGAGATATATAGTACATGATTTTGAAAAGAAGGGTTGACCTTTCATTCAGTTATCGCGATTTTCAATTATTTATTCAAAATAAATGCAACAAGTTGTTTGATTTTTTTATTGTTTTGATACTAATTCTGACATTACAAGCCAAACAGGTAGACCTCTATACTTGGAATTTTTTCAAAGTTGGCTTACCTTCTCCTCATTGTACCACGGTTCCAACCAGAGATCGGATTAAATGGAATTGGTATTGCCTATGAATGCATTCACAAAAACAGTGCATATTGTCGTCATCTCACATCACTTGGAAACAACAGCACACAACATCATTCTTCAGAAAAGAATACAATGACAAGCAATGCATTGCTTGTACCAAAGAACATTTTGTTTCAAGTTACATTAGTTGTGTTCCAGTACTTTTTTAGTAGTAAAACTAGCAGAAGAGAGAACAGTTCGAAATGTCATTCTCATTTAGGTTTGCTCAAAAAGTAAGGGAACGGAAAATTAGCAGAAATGCGATAAAGTGTCAAAATTCAAAATTCCAAAAGTAAACAGCCTAAATCGGACTGGTGAAACCTTACTGAAAAGATCATTTTCTTTTTTTTTTTTTTTTTTTTGGTTTATTGAAAAGTAATTGTTGGATAGGTACCCGTAGTACCTATATACCAAGACTAGTTTTGCTTACATATTAGTGAATACTTAAGTAACTAAATAATTGAACTAGTTCCATGGTGAATATGACATATGACATCATTTTTGTTTACAATTCAATTTTGGCTGAAGTAATGAAATTACAGAGTTCCTTGATGACGGTGTTTGTTCGGTATTTCAATAAAGCAGGTAAGTTGGTAAAATCGTTGAAAATATTGAAGTTACATCTTATGTGGTGAAATTTATTGCACTCAAATATCAAATGATTTTCCGTTTCAGGTACATTACAAACAGCACACAAATTAGTGTCTATCAGGTTCATTTTATGCAGGTACGTTTTGCAGTATGAGTGACCCGCTAGGAGTCTATTGATAATTTTAATTTCTACAGGTTCTAAAGACATTTCGTCATGCCAGTGTTTTTTTGGTGGAGATGGAAAGAAATTAGAGAAGTATGTGCCTTTTGATAACGACAATAGTCTATATTTTCTAACCCATTCATCCCATAGGGCTTCATATATTTCCGCACGAGCATCCTTTACGGCTAAATTGGACGAAATTACACAGCCAGCTTCCACGGCTTGTCTGGCAAAATAGTCGGCACGTTCGTTAGATGGGATTCCAATGTGGGATGGAACCCACAGGAAGGTAAGGTGACTTAAAGTTGAATTGTTTATTTTGTTGATTATTATGTTGACTAAATAGTTGTGTGATGTGTTGTTTCTTAGGAGCAAACAGGCATTTTTACTATCCGTCAGGATTACTGCCCTTTGAATACCATCTTCTAAAATGAGGTCAACGGCCTTGTTAATAGCATTGAGTTCGCCCATGAGTGATGAACATTTGGCGTTAATTTTGAATAGAAAGTTTTGATTTGATGATATGTTGCAAACTCCGCAACCTGTCGAGTCTCCGATAATAGAGGCATCAGTTGCCCATATGGAAGTGCCGCTAGATTTGAATTCGTTTAGTTTTTCAAGATATATACTATAAAAGAATTCTTTTGATTCTGAGTTTTTTCCAGCATTAAAGATGTTCATAGCGTATGAAATTTTGTCGCTTGGAATTTCAGACGGACATATTTTGGTTTTGTCGAAGATGTGTTTGAATTTGTTGTATACCAATCCAAGACTTGTTTTATTAGTTGGGTAAGACGTGAATTTTTCATAAGTGTCCCAGTGAAACATTTTGAATTTTAAAAGCTCTTTCGCAGCTAGATACTGCGACCTTAGTTCCGGAGGCAAAACGATTGCTAAGGCGTAAATTATGTGAACAGGCGTTGAAGGTGTTAATCCTAAGTTCTTCCGTAGAATTTGGTTTTGACACGTTGTTAGTTTTTTATTGACGTAGTTGGGCATGTGAGCCATTGAAGAAATAGAGTACTCAAGTTTTGAAAAAAGAAGCGATCGGGAAAGGTTCACAGATATTTTGGGGTGAATTCCATCTTTAAGCGAATTTACCATTTTCAAGGCATTTAGGGTGTAGCTGGAAGTCTTAATTACTTCATCATAATGATTTTTTATAGTTAAGCTGTTTTTTATGTGTCTTCCCAGAAATTTTATTTTGTCCACAGAGTTTATTGGAATTCCTTCAATTCTGATTTGTGGTATTTTTCTGGCACCTTTTGCTACATACATAACTACAGTTTTTTCAGTGTTTGCAGAGAGGTTAAGGGATTTTAATATCCTAATAAATTCATTCATCTTGTTCTGAAGAATATTGTTAGCAGCGTCAAAATCTTTTTCTGCTGATAGTATAATGAAATCGTCCGCAAACTGAAAAGTTTTGATGGATTGGTTATTTATACCATGTAAGCCGAGAGTATAAATGTTAAACAGAGTAGGACTTAGACAGCTTCCTTGTGGAAGGCCATTATAGATCTCTAAACTTTCGTTGCCCATCATTAAAATCCGTTTCTTTAAAAAAATTGCAATCCACGTAGTTATATCGCTGGGACAAGAGAGCTCAATTAAAATTTTGACGAGTAGTTCAATGTTAACACAATCGTATGCTTTTTCCACATCCAAAGATACAATTATGACTTTATCACCTTTCTCTTTATGGTAGTTTATTGTATGTAGCAAATCATTTATGCACATAGATGCAGATAGATTTTTCCTATAAGCATATGTGTTTTGGGGGAGGATATTATTTTGATCAAGGTAGGTCTGAAGCCTTTCCTTTACCATTAAGTTTATAATTTTCGCAAAAACAGATATCAACGCGATTGGTCTGTAATTAGTAAATATGTCCAAATCTTTGCCGATCTTCGGGATGGGAACAATCTTAATTTTTCTCCATTCTGTGATGAAATTGCCATCTTTCCAAGTATTATTCATAGCTCTTAGTAAGTTCTGCTTGGCCATGTGTGACAAATGGTTGACCATTTCGTAAGTAACACCATCTGCACCAGCTGCTGATGGTTTCTTCTTTTTCTGCAGCACATTTTCAAATTCTTCATATGAAAAACTTGAAGACGATTGTGGCTTTAAATGCATGTGTTGTATTGGGGTATTATTAGGGACTTGATCCCTAAGATGAATTAAAAATTGTTTATCGTTTTCAGACGACCATTGAGTTTTATATATTGGCATCGAAGAATTTTTACATCCCCGAACAAATTTAAAAAGTGCCTTGGAATTTGGTTCGTTGTTTAGATCATGAAGTTTTGTTTTGAAAGCTTTTCTTTTGGCAAATTTTACAGCGTTGTTAAAGGCTTTGTTAGCCTCAATAAGTTTTAAAGCATTGATGTTATTATTGCACATGTTATATGTTTTTTGAGCTGCTAGCTGAAGTCTGTGGGTTTTATCTACCACAGAGTCCCACCAAACTTTTGGGCATTGGTTATCTTTTAAGAGATAAGTGGATTTTTTAATTTCATTTTTGAAAGTTTCATTAATTTTCTCAAAGCATGGAACAATATTTGCACTATTTAATGATTTTAATAGCTTTTTCTTAGCTAAGAACCGTTTGCTTCTGATATTGCTGATACCAATATTAATTATTATAGGGTAGTGATGGCTTCCTCCAATTGTGTATGGTTGTACTTTCCACGAAGTGGTTAACGCCGTATTCGTAAAAGAGAGATCAAGAACAGAACCAGTGATGTCAATAGATCGTTTTTTAAAAGTGAAATTTCCATCATTAAGTGAATAAAAATTAGATGGATCGAAAAAGGTTTTGACAATATTGCCTCTATGTGAATCAAAGGTGTCTCCATAGCAGGAATGTCTTGCATTAAAATCGCCGCAGATCAGTACGTCAGGACGTGATTCCAGAAAACATAGTAGTTTATCGAGTTCGTGTTTTATTTCAGTGGCTCTAATAGAATGAGGGAAATACACAGATACTATGGTTATGTTGTTTGAAATATTTGTAGTTTGGCAAATAAGTATGTCCAATGGTGTTTGGAAGTGTACTTTTCTGAACTTTATATTCTTTTTAAAGAGTATGGCAACTCCACCGTAGTTGTCTTTTCTCTTTTTTGAAACAATATTATAGTTGGATATAGATGTGTTGTTTTGCGATTCATCGATATTAAAAATTTCACTTAACATGCAGATGTCGATGTTGAATTTATTCAAATAAAATTCAAGATAATTCTTATTCTTGTTTAGGCTTTGAATGTTATGTTGTAAAATGTTCATGATAAAAGATGATTAGTTTTGATTGTTTGTATAAGAATTTGATTTTGGAGTTTGAGAATTTTCATTTGAATTAATTTTATATTTTGTATTTTTTGCAGGACCTGGTAGGAGGGATTTTCTGAAGTTTTCCAATATGTCTAAACCTTCCGCGCAGTTCAGAGAGGTAAGTAACTGGGACATTTGTTTTGTAAACATTGACATGGTTTTTTCCAGATCTGATACCTTGGCAAAAGATGGATGTTCAAAAACAGGAATTGAAGGCGCAACAGTGATGGGGCTAGCTACTGGATGGTTGATTTTAGTATGAGGAGCTGCTATTTTGCTATATTTTATTTTTGTAATTCTTCTGTTTATTTCATCATTAAAATTTCTTATATTTTGATTAGAAGATTTGTTAATTGTTGGAAAATGAGATTCGTAGCTTCCATCAGCTAAGATGTTATAATAATTTTGGGATTCAGGGTATGCCTTTATAACTTCTTTCCTGCTTAGATTTGACAGTGTCATAAGCGATTTGATCTCTTTTTCCGATTTCCACCTTGAACATTTTCCTTGTTCTGTGGCATTGTGATCATTCCCGTTGCACAAAATACATTTTGGAGTGTCACATTGTTCTTTACATTTTGTATTAGTAAGGCAATCATTGCATTTTTGTTCCTTGCATTGGTTTGGACATATTATAAATTTACCACAGTCTAGACAACGTTTAGTTGATCTACAGCGTATAGCAATGTGACCAAGACGGCCGCAGTTTTTACAAAGGCGTACTGGGGGTACATATAGGTCAGGTTTGACCCTAGTACCGCACATAAAAATCGAATGGGGAACTCCATTACATATTATTCCTACCTTAACAGTTTCAGTCTCTTCTATTTTGTTGTTTTCGTTTTTCCTTGTAAATCTGTATACAGATATAACATCAATATCGTTGTTGTCTTCGATAGAATTTTTTATTGTAATACCATCAATGGATTTTGGAACATTTTTAATAACGTAAAACTTTTGTATAAAACGCTCTGGAATCTCAGCTTTCAATTTAATTTCTTTTAGCTGTTGGTTTTGAACGAAAGAGTTTGCCATAGCAAGGTTGTTGAAGGTAAGGCGGAAGGTATTGTACCCAATGTTTTTACACACATATGTGGTGGGAATGTTAATCTTTTGAAAAAGTGCATATAAATGCAATTCGCAATTCTTCCTCCTGGAGCTAATTGGGGTTTCCGACGTGACAATGACATAGAATGGGCCCGGATGATTTTGTGGATAAAGAATATTCGATTGTAGAGAATTATAATTGTATTCAATTTTTTCAGACAAATCAGATTCATTTGAAGAAGTCTGTGAAATATTTGTATTTTTGATTGGTTCACCATTATTATTTATAAATATTTTCTTTTGGTTTGACATTAAATGTGCCCGGCGTTTATTAGGGTCCCAGAGAGGTGTTGGGGGAGGTTCCCCGTCGGCATCCATTTTAAAAAATTAGAAATTTTTCTGATTTATTTTCTTTTTATTGAAAAAAAAAAAACCAAGAAAAACAAAATGTCTCGAAAAACAAACAAAAACTTAGTTTGTGATTATGTTTGTATGTATGTGTGTTATTGCAACGCAAAAACAAAACGATAATAAAAAGGCGCAGTCTAGCATCAACAAGGGTTGAGTAGCGACTGAGATCATTTTCTTTATTGAAATGTATCAATACATTTTTCAACCTTGTTAGCCCTGCCAATTATATGTCAAATTTACAATATGCACATTTCTGCTCGGCCAAATTCATGTAGCTAAAACTAGCAGAAATGTGCACCACTCAGCGCCATTTTTTTTCTCGAGAGAGCTGCAAGTTTTGCTAATTTTTGGAGTACGGGAACGCGTTGTAGCAGAATTAGTGCTAATTAGTACTAATTTGCAGGTTCTGGAACACAACTATTATTTTTAAGTTATAAAATTATAACAAGGTCAGACTAACATTAAGCAAAATTAATTTTCACACAAATAATTAGCATCGTTAAAGCATCGACATTGGTTCATTTTGTCGAATAAATGCATGTCGATAGCATTGAAAGAAAGAATGCATAAAAAAATATGAAACATTTTTGTTTTTGATAATAAATAAAAAACAGATTTGCAGGTTGTGGAACAGAGTAAAAACGTCCAATCGGATGACCTACTAAAAAGGCCATGGAAACATGTCCCAATCCATAGGGATTAGACTTACCGATAAATTTTGTAAATGACATTTTTTGCACTAGATTTTCTTGTTATTGTAGAATAATAATCTTTGGAATTGATAAAATAAATAAAGATAATTGAATTTGCGCTCTAAATTTATGATTTTGCTGGCGGTTTTTTTTCTTAACTTGCTCTGGGTCCAGGGAAATATTTACGCATAAAAAAAGAAAAGTAGGCTCCCCAGCCATTAAAACAAATTAAGAATAAAACTATTTTACTACATAAAAATTCAGTAAGCAGCATTTCTATATTGTGTATTAAATCACATATTTACCATTAATTACATTTAAACATAACTAAAATGTATTTTGAAATAATTGCAAGGTCCAACATCTCGCAAATATGACCAAAAACGATCTAGCAAAAATATTTTTAAAGATTCTAGGTATAAAATTCTGGGGGTTTCTTGATGAATGAGTAAAGGTAAAGGACGTTCTAATTGAGTAAGGGACATCATTTTTAACAACGTTGTAAAAAAGTAATAAGCAGCGGTATTTAATAAACAAATTAAAGGAACCCCAGAAACCATATAACATGACTTGATACATGACTACCTCGTCGTAGATTATAGACATAACGTGTATTGGTGTTCACAATACGCTTTAGCCTATTTATATTTGAAGCAACAGCTCCAGAAAATCCCTCATTAATAGAGAACTTGCAAGTGTCTGTTTCACATTTTGTGTTATCGAATATTATCCATATCATTTTTCCAAAATTCAAGCAGAATCTCTTCTCCAACGAGTATAAAATAAAGCTAAACAAAGTTTAAAACAACAATAAACATCTTGTTATTTCGAAATGGCTTGTACCTTATTTAATACATCTTGTACTACCTTGTGGTGAAATATTGAGATGTGAAGTTGTGTTGTAAAATAGACGGCGTTTTGTCGCTTAAAAGGCTACGTATTCTGAATTATTAGTCAACAAAAGAAAAAGAAGAAGCAAAACGAAATTTAGTATTGAATAAATTTGCAGAAAAAATCTTGAACATGTCGATCTTGGATAATATCAGAGATTGGTTCACTTCCGAAACGGCTCGCAACAAAAATTCATCATTAATTGCGGGCTTGCTGGTAAGATTCTAATTATTAAATGAATGCTGTGCTTTCTTTGTTGTTTTCTTTAAAATTGCCGTCATATCACATATACACATACGTTTATATGCATGTGTGTGTAAATATGTAATTTTATAAAAGTCAACCCAACACACCAAAATAACAGAAATAATGTAATAATAAGCTGAAAAACACAAGCTTAACAGCGTTACCTAAAATTCGACGTAAAATATACAAATATTCAAATTCCCAACTACGGTAATATGCTTTGGAAACAACTCTAGTTTAATAACTGGAACCGGAAATACCTATCAAACAAGTGGTCACATGAAGGGGTAAGTTGTCATGGTTCGGAAGTTATAGTCAAATTATCGAATTTTTGGACCCGGATTTTTATTGAAACCGCCAAAACGTCAAAAAAGGGTCCATTATGGGTGTCAACATAATTGTTTCCAAATTAAAGCTGACACTCTTACCTTTCCAAAATGCTACAATTTGTGCTAATACCTTTTTCGGGTCCAGATATATGGGTCTTTTCATCCGCATAACCCGATAACCAGTTCATTAAAATGTCGTCGGAATAACAAAAGTTTTCTAAATTTGGCACTTTTTGTAAATAGCCGGCCTTCGGCCGGGGCTTGAGATTTTCTCCTCTGGGTATGTCCCACACCGGCTAACGCGAACCAAAGTTTTCTAAATTTAACACTTTTTGTAAGTAGCCGGCCTTCGGCCGGGGCTTGAGATTTTCTCCTCTGGGTATGTTCCACATCGGCTAACGCGAACCAAAGTTTTCTAAATTGGAAGCCTTTTGTAAATAGCCGGCCTTCGGCCGGGGCTTGGGATTTTCTCCTCTGAGTATGTCCAACACCGGCTAACGCAAACCAAAGATTTCTGAATTTGATGCTTACGCGAAATATACTTTTTTTATTGAAAACTTAGTTTTAATGAACTAGTTAGAATCGGGTTAAGCGGATGGAAAGACCCATATCTCTGGACTCAGTAAAGGTATTAGCCCAAATTGTAGCATTTTGGAAAGGTAAGAGTGTCAGCTATAATTTGGTGGTGGACCCGGGGTTTTTTTTCGGCCAGGGATTTTCTCTGAATATGTCCCTCACCGGCTAACGCCACCCAAAGTTTTCTAAATTTGATACCAGTTGTAAGTAGCTGGCCTTCGGCCGGGACTTGAGATTTCCTCGTATGAGTATGTCCAACACCGGCTAACGCGAATCAAAGTTTTCTAATTTTGGTGCTTTTGTAATCCAACGAAAAATATATAATCAGCTATAATTTTGTTAACCCCCATAAAGGGCTCTTTTGACTTTTTGGGGGTTTTACAAAAATCGATAATCGATCGATTTTTCAGTTCCATATCATAAAAATTGATATTCTACTACCATGGTAAAAACTTTTCGATTTTTTCGAAATTTTTTTCCAGAGGTAGCTATCCCGCACTAGCTAACGCGAACCCAAGTAAACCTTTTTTATTGAAAACATTCAAAATGGTTTAAGTATCCTGATTACAACAACAAAACATTTTGGGGATGTGGGTCCACACTTCCCGAAATATAGGGTTCCAAAAAATTGCCTTCCTTATTTTTTTCGGTTATTTAAAAAATATTAATTTTAGTAAACTTTGATTCACAACGCCGGTGCTGGACATACGTCATAGCAAAAAATCCTTAGGCCCGGCCTAAGGCCGTCTACTTTAATAAGCTTTGGTTCGCAAACCCTGTGTTGGACATTCCTCTGAGGAGAAAATCTCAAGGCCTTTGTTTTGGAACTTTGTTCAATTGTTCCGATAGGGTTATTTCTAACCGTTCGGAAGTAATACAAAAGTCGAAATGGAATGGAAATGTGGTTCAGTCAAGACAATATAACGAATCATTAAACTCTAGCAAAATATTGTTGATTACAAATTGTCGCCGCTAAAGTATTCAAAATATTAAAAAGTAACATTATATGATTACCGTTATATTCATACCTCAATTTGGGCAATAACTTTATTAGACGCAGTCGATAAGTGTCCTCTGTAGAGTTTTTTTTTTTTTTTTCAATATACAGAGCAGTTGCAATTTTCCTTTGTTACAATATATTATTTATTAAATTATAAATAGCTTTAATCATTATTTGTAAGTCGCTGTTTTGTTTTTAATGTACTCTATAGTGACAGTTTTTTGAATTTATGAAATAGGCCCAAGGCCTACATAATGTCGGCCAAAAGACCACTTTTTACAAAAATTTCACAATAAAATTTTTGCACCATTATTATTTCACTTTCTTTGGATTTCAAATCACGTCTTTTGACAGAAAACCTAGTTGTCAGACGGGCTTACTGGCCGATCTTATGAAGGCCATGAATAGCCCCACAGGAACATAGAATTATTAAGCTTCAAATAAGTAACGTATTTAAAATTTTAGTTCTTTGCAGGATGGTGGACTTTAATAGACGCTATGTCTGTCGATCCAAAACATCAAATAACAACTGGTCATGTATTCATTGGTATTTTTGGTACAATTAGCCTTTTTATGGTGAATACTGTAAAGAATTCTCATGTAAGTTCCTGTACTATATTTTATCATTGTATGCTATATAGACAAATTTTCTTTCAGATATCCGAAGACAATACATCCGAATCTGGAGCTAGAATTGCTAAGATATGGCTATTAATCGGTTTTGTTATGGGATTCGCTTCGATCATTGCAGCAATATGGGTTATGATAGACGACTTCATCAATAACCGTAAGTATATGCAAGAGCTTGACATTGACATATACGCATATATGCATTTTTGCGTCTTTCTATATAGCCAAAAAGGATTCCGGACTTGGAGTGGCTTTACTTATGCAAAATCTATTGATCTTGCTATCCAATCTTACATACAAATTTGGCCGAGATGAAGAACTTTGGAATGAATAAACTTATTCCATTCTGACATTATGAAGTATTTAATTACATCTATTAGAGGGTTCGTAATTTACACATAATAATAATGCATAAATATATAAGGTCATCTATATAAACCATAATAAAAATCTCAATACATGTTATATACAATTTTCGTGTGTTTAGTTAAAAAAACTTAATTAATGGCATAGAAATATGCATGGTATAACCATGGTAGAAAAAACAGATAACAACATAGGCGAAAATTATAACAAAGCAACTTTTGTCGGATCTTGAGATGTCGAAATTGTAAGCAAGGCGAATTTACTTGACATATAAAATTTGAGGCAAATTGTTTTGTACCAATCATAACATTTCATTTTGAAGCATTGAACTACTTTGTTGTGTTTTTATTTACATTTAAAAAATATATATTTTGCAAGGAAATTTTGTGAAAAGCAAACAAAAAGTCGAAGATTCGAAATAAGACAAGAAACCAAGAAACAACCACCAAAATGAGTATAATTTACAAAGGGTGCTTCTTCAAACAATGAATTTTGCCGTGGATTTCTAAAAAATGTAGATTCCTTCAACACATAAAATCCTCAAATTTTAAGAAAATTACCGGCCCTTAAATCGTGGATATTTGAAGAACATTCCGGGACTCAGTCGTGTCTATATGTCGCAAGCATATTTGCGGATCTCAAATAGTGGATTTGTTGATTTATTTCAGACCTAAAAGTTATTATTATCGTCCATCAATAAAAGTCCAAGTTTTAAGAAAAAAGTTCAGTCGGAACTTCGACAGAAATATATCCTCAGAATTTGACCACTTATTCATGTTTACTTTATTTGAAGTACGTATCATAATTGTTTATCTCGAAGTCCTAAAGGAATCGTCCATCAATAAAAGTCCAAGTTTTAAGAAAAAAAGTTCAGTCGGAACTTTGACAGAAATATATCCTCAGAATTTGACCACTTATTTATGTTTACTTTATTTGAAGTACGTATCATAAAGATTAAATAATTTCAACTTTTCACTAAATCTAGTATTAATACTTTGAAGAGAACTGGGAATAGTATCACATTTTATGAGAATAGCGATTATTAATTATTTTGTAGGATAGGTACCAGATCTATTGTTCTATTGCCTGGGTGATTCATTTACCCTTTGAGGGATAGAGAAGAAATCTATGATTTGGTGAATAGTAGCAAATAGAAATATGTATGAACTAGATGTGTAAGTTAAGGGAGGTATTGATCTTTCCATATTCTACAAAGGTATTGGTCTTTGCTTGTACTCACAAACCATACAATACCTCATATTTGGTTTGTTTTTTAACTTTTTCCAACATTTTCAATTTTAATAATTGTTCAGGTTTCTTTCTCATTTTATATATCTGTGGGGCGAATTCATATTACAAAAATTTGTTTGACATATCAAGTTGCCTACAGTTGGCCTGATAGGGCTACCTTATAATTCTACCATGGGTATAAAAATTTCTCCGAATTTAAATCGGAATTATGTATTTTTACAACTGGCTTGGAATTTCAGGTATTTGGTACCGGCTTCTAAGATTAATCTTCATTATGAAATTGATAATTAAGACAAAAATATCAGCTATTTGCCCCCTGGCATATGGCGCAATAAGGTTGTCACATGGCAGAAGAATACAGATAGTCGCATCGACACAGCTGCTGGGACAATGAACTGTCAAACCGATTTTGATATTGAAAATCGTAAATGAAAAATTATTTAAATTTGTAAAAATTGTTGAAAAATACATATCACTACAACCTCCGATTGGATAATATCAGAGATTGGTTCACTTCCGAAACGGCTCGCAACAAAAATTCATCATTAATTGCGGGCTTGCTGGTAAGATTCTAATTATTAAATGAATGCTGTGCTTTCTTTGCTGTTTTCTTTAAAATTGCCGTCATATCACATATACACATACGTTTATATGCATGTGTGTGTAAATATGTAATTTTATAAAAGTCAACCCAACACACCAAAATAACAGAAATAATGTAATAATAAGCTGAAAAACACAAGCTTAACAGCGTTACCTAAAATTCGACGTAAAATATACAAATATTCAAATTCCCAACTACGGTAATATGCTTTGGAAACAACTCTAGTTTAATAACTGGAACCGGAAATACCTATCAAACAAGTCGTCACATGAAGGGGTAAGTTGTCATGGTTCGGAAGTTATAGTCAAATTATCGAATTTTTGGACCCGGATTTTTATTGAAACCGCCAAAACGTCAAAAAAGGGTCCATTATGGGTGTCAACATAATTGTTTCCAAATTAAAGCTGACACTCTTACCTTTCCAAAATGCTACAATTTGTGCTAATACCTTTTTCGGGTCCAGATATATGGGTCTTTTCATCCGCATAACCCGATAACCAGTTCATTAAAATGTCGTCGGAATAACAAAAGTTTTCTAAATTTGGCACTTTTTGTAAATAGCCGGCCTTCGGCCGGGGCTTGAGATTTTCTCCTCTGGGTATGTCCCACACCGGCTAACGCGAACCAAAGTTTTCTAAATTTAACACTTTTTGTAAGTAGCCGGCCTTCGGCCGGGGCTTGAGATTTTCTCCTCTGGGTATGTTCCACATCGGCTAACGCGAACCAAAGTTTTCTAAATTGGAAGCCTTTTGTAAGTAGCCGGCCTTCGGCCGGGGCTTGGGATTTTCTCCTCTGAGTATGTCCAACACCGGCTAACGCAAACCAAAGATTTCTGAATTTGATGCTTACGCGAAATATACTTTTTTTATTGAAAACTTAGTTTTAATGAACTAGTTAGAATCGGGTTAAGCGGATGGAAAGACCCATATCTCTGGACTCAGTAAAGGTATTAGCCCAAATTGTAGCATTTTGGAAAGGTAAGAGTGTCAACTATAATTTGGTGGTGGACCCGGGGTTTTTTTTCGGCCAGGGATTTTCTCTGAATATGTCCCTCACCGGCTAACGCCACCCAAAGTTTTCTAAATTTGATACCAGTTGTAAGTAGCTGGCCTTCGGCCGGGACTTGAGATTTCCTCGTATGAGTATGTCCAACACCGGCTAACGCGAATCAAAGTTTTCTAATTTTGGTGCTTTTGTAATCCAACGAAAAATATATAATCAGCTATAATTTTGTTAACCCCCATAAAGGGCTCTTTTGACTTTTTGGGGGTTTTACAAAAATCGATAATCGATCGATTTTTCAGTTCCATATCATAAAAATTGATATTCTACTACCATGGTAAAAACTTTTCGATTTTTTCGAAATTTTTTTCCAGAGGTAGCTATCCCGCACTAGCTAACGCGAACCCAAGTAAACCTTTTTTATTGAAAACATTCAAAATGGTTTAAGTATCCTGATTACAACAACAAAACATTTTGGGGATGTGGGTCCACACTTCCCGAAATATAGGGTTCCAAAAAATTGCCTTCCTTATTTTTTTCGGTTATTTAAAAAATATTAATTTTAGTAAACTTTGATTCACAACGCCGGTGCTGGACATACCTCATAGCAAAAAATCCTTAGGCCCGGCCTAAGGCCGTCTACTTTAATAAGCTTTGGTTCGCAAACCCTGTGTTGGACATTCCTCTGAGGAGAAAATCTCAAGGCCTTTGTTTTGGAACTTTGTTCAATTGTTCCGATAGGGTTATTTCTAACCGTTCGGAAGTAATGCAAAAGTCGAAATGGAATGGAAATGTGGTTCAGTCAAGACAATATAACGAATCATTAAACTCTAGCAAAATATTGTTGATTACAAATTGTCGCCGCTAAAGTATTCAAAATATTAAAAAGTAACATTATATGATTACCGTTATATGCATACCTCAATTTGGGCAATAACTTTATTAGACGCAGTCGATAAGTGTCCTCTGTAGAGTTTTTTTTTTTTTTTTCAATATACAGAGCAGTTGCAATTTTCCTTTGTTACAATATATTATTTATTAAATTATAAATAGCTTTAATCATTATTTGTAAGTCGCTGTTTTGTTTTTAATGTACTCTGTAGTGACAGTTTTTTGAATTTATGAAATAGGCCCAAGGCCTACATAATGTCGGCCAAAAGACCACTTTTTACAAAAATTTCACAATAAAATTTTTGCACCATTATTATTTCACTTTCTTTGGATTTCAAATCACGTCTTTTGACAGAAAACCTAGTTGTCAGACGGGCTTACTGGCCGATCTTATGAAGGCCATGAATAGCCCCACAGGAACATAGAATTATTAAGCTTCAAATAAGTAACGTATTTAAAATTTTAGTTCTTTGCAGGATGGTGGACTTTAATAGACGCTATGTCTGTCGATCCAAAACATCAAATAACAACTGGTCATGTATTCATTGGTATTTTTGGTACAATTAGCCTTTTTATGGTGAATACTGTAAAGAATTCTCATGTAAGTTCCTGTACTATATTTTATCATTGTATGCTATATAGACAAATTTTCTTTCAGATATCCGAAGACAATACATCCGAATCTGGAGCTAGAATTGCTAAGATATGGCTATTAATCGGTTTTGTTATGGGATTCGCTTCGATCATTGCAGCAATATGGGTTATGATAGACGACTTCATCAATAACCGTAAGTATATGCAAGAGCTTGATATTGACATATACGCATATATGCATTTTTGCGTCTTTCTATATAGCCAAAAAGGATTCCGGACTTGGAGTGGCTTTACTTATGCAAAATCTATTGATCTTGCTATCCAATCTTACATACAAATTTGGCCGAGATGAAGAACTTTGGAATGAATAAACTTATTCCATTCTGACATTATGAAGTATTTAATTACATCTATTAGAGGGTTCGTAATTTACACATAATAATAATGCATAAATATATAAGGTCATCTATATAAACCATAATAAAAATCTCAATACATGTTATATACAATTTTCGTGTGTTTAGTTAAAAAAACTTAATTAATGGCATAGAAATATGCATGGTATAACCATGGTAGAAAAAACAGGTAACAACATAGGCGAAAATTATAACAAAGCAACTTTTGTCGGATCTTGAGATGTCGAAATTGTAAGCAAGGCGAATTTACTTGACATATAAAATTTGAGGCAAATTGTTTTGTACCAATCATAACATTTCATTTTGAAGCATTGAACTACTTTGTTGTGTTTTTATTTACATTTAAAA